ATCTACTTCGGAAAATTTGGTAATATTTCCCCTAAAAGTCGATAATCTACATCCCCCAAAAGTCGATAATCTACTTTCCCAAAAAGTAGATAATCTACTTTTCGGGAAAGTAGATAACCAACTTTCTCAGAAAGTAGATATTTCCCATTTTCTATGATACAAATATCCCGTTTTCTATGATCATCGATTTCGGAAAATCAGGTAATATTTCCCCAAAAAGTCGATAATCTACTTCCCCAAAAAGTCGAAAATCTACTTTCCTGAAAAGTAGATAATCTACTTTTCGGGAAAGTATTTAACCAACTTTCCCAGAAAGTAGATATTTCCCATTTTCTGTGATACAAATTTCCCATTTTCTATGATAATCTACTTCAGAAAATTAGGTAATATTTCCCCAAAAAGGCTGATAATCTACTTCCCTGAAGTCGATAATCTATTTTCACAAAAAGTAGATAATCTATTTTTTGGGAAAGTAGATAACCAACTTTCCCGGAAAGTAGATATTTCCCATTTTCTATGATACAAATTTCTCGTTTTCTATGATAAGCATATATTTCCCATTTTCTGTGATAAAAATTTCCCGTTTTCTATGATAATCTACTTCAGAAAATTAGGTAATATTTCCCCCAAAAGTCGATAATCTACTTTCAGGAAAAGTAGGGGAAATAGGGGAAATTGGTAGAGAAAATTAAAAACTACATAACATGATAAACAGTTTATTCCTTGGACTTCTATTCACAAAATAATGTATTAAAATGCTTTTGCTCAAGAGCAAAGGCTTTTACATATCAGATCAATCTCTAGATATCTTGACTGAGTCTTGTCCACTGATATTATAATATCACATGCTGCCAAACTGACTCCAGGCTTCACTGATGCCTAGTTATGATTGAATATGATGCTATCAAAAATGACACACTAGAGTTTAACTTACGCTGACTGGTTCCAGATGGTCCCCTTTGTGACCTGAAAGTTGCACCGTTTTCCCATATACTATTCAAGCACCAAGTTAGTTCTTGAGGATTATATGACTGACAATGTCTATGCCAGTGAGAATTCAACAGGAAAACTGCAACTTTGGTTTACATAGAGGGATGGGTATTGGCTACGGAGATTAGAGAACAATAAGATAAAAGAGAAGTTATATTTCCCCCCGGAACAAAGGACGCTATTCTAGTGGACAGAACAGTGGTCAATTCTAGTGTGACGTTTCTGGAGCACTCTCTGTAAGCTATGGAATGTTCTTTTTGATAAACTGGGAAGCTGATCCCTTATTTGCTTTAAGTGTTGAGAGAGTTGCCATATTATTTATTAGGTAGCTAGATAATAAAGTTACAGATAGTTTGATACCTACCTGTGAGAAAAGTTACCTTCAATAACAATAGACAGATTATTCATAAAGAGCCTACAACAAATTTCAGGAAAAGTTCATTAACCTTTTCAAAATAAAGGTAATGGTTAAAACTGAACAATCATAAATGACTGTATAATCAACATAAGTTTTTTTTTTTATAAATAGAGAATGAGACTTATTCTGACTTCACTTAAAAATTGTATGAACAAAGAATTACAGAGATACACACTGCTATTCTTGGCTTCAGACTAGCTACATTGTTTCTCAACTACTATAGGTACCCTTTAGTGAGAAATGGTAGGAAATGATAATGGCTCTAACAAAAAAAGAATGCCATATAACTTATGAGAATCATGAAATAATCTACTACTACGGTTTCAGAATGTGGCCACAGACTGCCTTGTGAAGCATATTCAGCACAGTGGAATGGAAGACCAAATATGAACATGAGCTGGAAACCTGAGGATTGGACAGACATTTAATATGGCTCATTTTCTGTATTGTGAATGAGAAAAGGAGCCACATACAATTTTCATCCAATGCCCATTGTTGATCCAATTGAAAGTAAAAGTAGCCTTATGGGTAGTGTTGTGGCAAAACTCTCTTTATAAAAGTAACAAAGAGGAAGGTAACAGCAACCTTGATTTTTCTTGCTTCCATCAGGTTAAGCCGAGGTACTATAATGCAACACATCAGCAAAATTCAGCTTGTTAATACTTAAAGAAGCCTGATGTTCCAAAAGTTGAGGATAGTAAATTATGGCTTATTTAAGTGACCTACAAAATTAATAAGTTGCTAAAGCTCACTTTTGCTGATAATGTCACAATTATGGACTGATAGTAACTCAACACAGTTCCTTTGCCAAGGATCATATTATCAACAGAGATGAAGCAATAAGTGATGCAAATCATCTACTCTCACATTTCACTGCATAAATATCTGTACATATTATCAAAGTTAGGTCCTTATCAAATGCACAAAAATGACCCCTAGGAATGTTGTTTGTGCTGGTCATAATTAATTACACTGTACACTGACCTAAACATTCAGCACAACAAGTTAAACCCCATCTTAACATAGCATTACACTGGCTATACACAGTTTCAAACCTAGTTTTTTGTCAACCGTGCCTGGAAGTTTCGGCTGATACACATTGAGCTTTAGGAGAACAATGAATTCTAGATACATGTTAGATATTAGGATACCCTATATTCCATCTGGGCTAACATACAGCAATTACAACATGGAAATCATTATTCTTTGGAATGTACACACTGTCATCCTGGCTACATGGAGTTATCATTAAATATATTCTACCTAAATTAAAACCCTAATAATTTATATAAAATATATATAAAATAAAAATTAAAATGGTCAGAATTAAAAATGTACAGCATAGCTGTATTCACACTACCCGAGGCAGCCTGCACAAGAATGCATTTTGGAAGCCGAGCAGCCTCTCTCCCCTTGAGGCTGCTCCCTTCCCTACGCAGGGGGTAGGGGGGGCAGTAAAGGCCACAGGAATGTGCAACCAGTCATATCTCTCATACATATATGTAAAAATAGCCATTCAGGTCAAACATATTGAACTTTTTACATCATTTGCTTCTCTTTCATTCTGTATTCATATAAAAAAGTAACTATCATAGCTTAGTATGACTATTGAACCATCGACCTTGCACATCAATACATGCTAAGCAGCATCTGCCAAGGGATAATTCAGGGTGCACCTATCACACGAAAGTACAGGCTCCCACCAGTGATGTGTACCAGTAGCCGGAAGACAGTGTGTGGGTGTGTACGTGTCTATGTACAAGTCCCAGACTCACAGCATACACTTAGCAATAATAATATAATAAACACTAAGGGTCATGTAACAGTGGTGGTGTGTATAAAGGAAGGAATGCCTTAATCACAGGGACAGATACTAATCACGGTTGACAGAAGTATAACAATTCTGCTGATAAAAAAAGCTGAATCGTCATACCACTGAACCAATATGAACCCTAGAAAAGCTAACTAGAGAGAAGCTCTTAGAAGAATATGATGTCCTGGTCAGTGTCAGGGTCTTTAATACGCTGGCCAGGGCGTGTGCTTGAGCCTACACCAGACCCTTCCTGTTGTGCCTCTGGGGTGGTGTTGGCACGTGTGGTGGGCACAGAAGGTTTGCTGGGCAGCTTAGGGTAAGTGTTAGTGCGGGTAGCACGGGCACCCTGGGTGGTGGCAGTGGATGAGGGTGCCCCAGGACTTGTGGCCGGAGACCCATTCTGTAGTGTTGCTGGGGATGAACCTGTGCGTTGGTGTGAATGACCAGGAGAAGGCTCCTGAAGGGAAGGTGGAGGAGATGCTAGGCGCTGGTACCCCACAGTCATCCGAGAGCCTTTACTCTCTCCAGGTCCTTGACTTAGTTTTAGGGGTAACATTTGTTGTACACCACCGCTAGTTGCTGTACTTATGTGAGGTCGATGATCTTGATTTGGGGAGGATGCGCCTCCGGCACTACTTGATGAAGAGCCTGAGCTACTACTGCTACCAAGCTTTGCTAACTTCATGGGCAGCTGTTGCTTCACTGATATAGATGCTTTCTGCTGATTTGCAGCTGAAATGAGGTGTGTGGGTAAAGACTGATTGGAATCACGCTTGATGAGGTTTCCAAGGGAAGCTGTGGAATTACGGTGCTTGTGGTCAGTACGTGGGCGTGTTGGGGCTGCTGTGCTTGTTGGTGAATTATGTGGGGATCCCTGAGTCATCTGCCCACCATCACTTGTACACCCACCCACAGTACCTGAAACAAGGTAATGTTAAATCTTTAATGATCCATATACTTCATTAATCCAGAAATCTAGATAATTTGGACCATACTATATCTGATCCATCAAAAATGTTAGTAAAAAAGAAAATAATGAACACAATCTAATTTATATCAAAATTTATACAGTTTACTTTGTCAATTCACATCGTACCACAAAGCATAAAAATAAAATTTCAGTCTCAACAGGATGAAAACCAAATACCGGTATCTGTAACATCACAAATTAAAACTTCCACCACAGTGAATTAAATCATACCAAGGGCTACCAATGATACGCGGAGATGATAACTACAAAATATAATCAATCATCATCCTGTATCTTTTGTTTATATTTTTGTATACAGTTGTCCCCCGCCAACCACTGGAGTTAAGTTCCTGAAAACCTCCGTGGTTGGCAAGACCAAAGGCTTATGGGAAATAGGGGATTAGGTTCCACGGCCTCAGATAACACTCATCAAAGCTTAACTAAGTTGCCTGTTTCTTCACTTAACTATACCTGTTTTGTACATTTAACTAAATTTTAGTCAAGTCAACTACATATAAAATAGATTAATATAAATTAAATAGTACTATAAATTTTACAGTATTTACCTTCACTCTTTGATGTGCTACTAGCAAAATTTTCCCTTATCATAGCCTCACTCTTTTTGACGGTACAAATCGAGAATTTGTTTACCCCCTTAGCAAGTCCCACTGATGCTATACTCTCCCCATGTGCTAGTCTAAATGTCATTCCGTGAGGAAATACAGACCAGAATGCTACGAAATCACAACACTGAAAAGCGTGGATAGCAGTGGCGGGGGACGGGACACTGTACACAGGAATACAATAGACTGCAGAGGGATAAAGACCGCATTAACCAGCTGATACATTAAACTTACAGCTGCGGTTGGTAAAATGGTATACAAAGTAGAAACTGGATGCATGGAATCCACAGTTGGCAAGGTTCTACTGTTCTTATGGATTAAAACCTTTATTTTTATTTTTTCTAGCCTCTTGTTTTAATAGTAATTGATTTATGAGGAATGCAATTGCTGTTCACTAAATCACGTCAAGGAATTTTTTGTCACGTATGCCAATCACAGGTCTCATTACATTCGTTCATAGGATTTTACTACTGTACTTGGTATAGTAAACAAAGGTCGAATGTTGCCAGGGTACATATCTTGGGGTTAAACTTGAAATTTACAGTATTTTATTTGTCCAATGACTTATTTTTTACTTTCATTTACTGTATTTGCCATTCTATTTATTCTTGTCCTAAATTTAGTGATTTTAGATGTATATAAGGACTTAGGCTATGATAAAGTGGAATTTTAAATGTTGTTCTGTAAGTACGGTATGCACATAGCATGTGTTCCAACTTACGTACAAATCCGACTTAAGAACGACCTCAGGAACGGAACCCATTTGTAACTCGGAGACCCTCTGTATACACTTTTTCTCAAGCTGTAAATATTTTTGCTTGTGCCCGTGGTCTAAATGTAATGGAAGAGTGTTTGTCCATGAGATGTGTAGTTTAGAGTCAAGGTGAAATGCCTAGTTTAGACTGAAAACTTTCCCCAGCACCCAAAAACATTCAGGGATGTGGGCTAGTATCTGTCTGTGCAAGATGTGTAATTTAGATGTTCTGAAATTTTTCCCGATATCCGAAAAAATTCCGAGGATGTGGGATTTTTCCTGATTTCAGAGTCACTCATTATCTGGAAATCTCTCATCTCTGGAAGAGCTCTGCACCAATTGTTCTGGATAACGGAGATATCACTTTTATTCCGAAATAATTTTTTTCACAGGTGGTGTCAATATGGGAAATTTTGCCATACAGTTAGAAAAAAAACAAGTTAAAGATAAAGGCTATAAAACAAAAAAATTAAGAAATATTATACAACATTACTAATGGAGGTGACGAAGCACATGTACCAAATAAAGTAGAGCGATATAGAAGTAAACAATTTAAAAATGCTTCCAGATCCTTAAAGATTTCTCCAATTCTGGGAAAGGCTACACTCTAATCAGGATATAATTTTAAAATTTTTAAACTTAAAAGACAATTACACATTAAACCAATACAAGCAAAAATTTATGTTAATACAGCAGATGTTGATGAAAGGGATTCACCAGCCTCTTATTACCTATGTGATGTTCATCATGGATGATGTGGGTAGGTGGAGTAGTGTTAAGCACAGTTAGGGTGGGACTAAGGATGATGCCCTGGGCCTTCAGGGCTTCCAACTTCCGGTATAAAGTTTCACGCTGTTGCTGAATATCTTGTTGTTCACAACGTAACTGATCCTGAGGATGGATAAATACAGAATATAAATTAGTATACTTTGTGAATGATATTCTCTATCATATCTAATATAATCAACATTTAAACTGGCCCCATAAAATTTTATCTAACTAGCTAATACACTTTGGTTAAAGCAGAACTCTGGTAGCTGACAACTCGTGACATACTGACAAAATAAGAGACAAAATGAGTCCAAACAGAAAATTAGATTTGTGGTACTGATGGACAGCCAGGCATAGACTTTTCATAATTCACACCTTCTTAGTTGATATGATATGAATGAAAAATTCATGTCTATAAATTGTTCCTAAGATTAAAGATGAGGTGTCATATTAATAATTTAATTAACAAATGGTAATTGTAAGTAACTTTGGAATAAACATCTACGATATTACATTTTTGTCAACTACAGTGGTCCCTCGGTTAACGAACACAATTCGTTCCACAGATTCGTTCGTTAACCGAATCCATTGTTTCAATGGGATATTGGGTAATTGGTTCCAGCTCACAGAAAAGTAAATACACAGTAAAAAAAAAAAAAATGCATTAAAGTACATTTACAGTGGGGTATGCTATAAGGAACGGATTCTACTACGAATATTCCTATAACGAACGGTTTTACCTATAAAATTGAGAATGCTATAACGAACGCAACTCCTACAACGAACGCGGATGAATACGGGACTATTTCGTCTGCCGCATGAGTATTGTTGTACCGCGGCTCACAACAAGAGCGTCAGGCGCCATATTGGTTCATTGTGTAGTCAGTGCACCACTGAACTTGTTGAAATTTCGTCTTTTGATGTGGAAATTCGTGTTATTTTTATAACTATTTTGTTATACAAGTGTACAGTTGTAACAATGAATCGTCAAAAGCGAGTAAGAAGGCCGATAACCCCTGAAACTAAGAAAGAAATTATAAATAAACAGACAAAGTGCCTGTAAGACAGTCACCAAAGAAGGCTAGGAAGGATGACTCCTCTCCTTCCACCTTTTCTCCATAATTCTCTCCTCTCCCCCTCCTCCTCTGCCTCCTACCCTGCATGCTGAACAACACTAAGGTAAGATAAAGTTTCGTATTTTTTACATTTTCCACAGAAAATTTTCAGTGTTGAGTGGTTGTATTTGGGGGCCTGGGACGGATTAATCCTATAACGAACGAATGCTATAACGAACGAGGTTCTAGAACCAATTAGATTTGTTATAGCATACCCCACTGTACTTTGAGGTGTGTATGTAGAAGGTTCCTCAATGATGATGGGAATTAGAAGTGGGGATGGAGGAGAAATCACCTTTCAGGGGACCAATGCTTGATGCAGTAATTTCACCAATAAAATTTGAAGTTCACTCGGTGTAATTCAAGATTATTTTATTTAAATCAACACTGCACTGTGCTATAAATCATCAATACATAAAATAAATTTCAGAATGACCAATAATTTTAATGTAAAAATGCAAAAATATTCAAGACACCAACAAAATCGATGTTCACTCCATTGTAAACAAAGCCAAACTGACGCCTGGTGGGTGAGTCAAGCGGCTGATGGGCGCACAAAAAACTAGTTCTCTGTACTGCATATATTATCAATATGTTAACTAAAGTTTAAAATGACATAACTTCAATATAAAATGTGCAAAATATTAAAGAGCACAACTTTCTTGATATTTACTCCACTGGAAACAAATGTAAACATAGAACAAATTACTGAATTGGCAGACTAGCCCATCAGCTGACGAGTGGAACAAGCTTAGCAACTTTGTAGTAAGTGCTGGAACGCTGGAAAGTTTCAAAAGGAGGCTTGATAGATTCATGGATGATAAAGAGTGGTAGTAACTCTCGACAGGAGCTGCCATGCACAGGCCAACCAGCCTATTGCAGACTCCTTATTTTCTTATGTTCTTGTGTGTTTGTCGTAAGGATTTCATTAATCAAAGTTTTGTTCATTAACCGAATTGAAGATCCTTATGGGAGGTAATTCGTTAATCAAATCGTTCGTTAACCGAGGGACCAATGTATATTCCATTATTCAGCTACTAATACAGTACATAAAACTGGCAAGAAAAATTCACATCAATACTTTACTTATAAAACATGTACTGAGCATACACAAGCATTTCTTACAATTTAAATCAAACTGATCTGACCCAGATGGAAAACCATCTACATTGTACTGAAGTATTCTGAACCTAGAAAATTACCAACCTAACACATTACACTGCAGAGAGAGAGAGAAAAAAAGGGAAGATTTGCATTCATTCCCAACTCCTTTGATTATAAAAAGATCAATCAGTAAACACTCACAGAGCTGAAATGCTTCATACTAATTGATCATGTGCAACAAGTGAGACTTTTATATCCAAAAGTTCATCTAGTTTTGTAAGTTATGTCTTGTAAAAAATGTACTTGCCTGCTTTTTCTGGATTTCTAATTTCTTTTCAGAAATCCATTTTTCTTGAGCATCTCTTTCTTTAGTCCATTGTGCTCGTTCATGACTGATTTGTTCTTGAATGTTGCGCAGTTCCTCCAGTTTCTGAGAATGCCGGAAACGACCATCTACTGATGCACCACCAACTACCACTTTTGATCTCAATCTGTGATAAAAGAGTCAAAGGTTATATTGAAAAAGATTCAAATTTTTCCTAAAAAAATAAGTATGGATAGGCCAAAAAGTGCAGTCCAATTTGAATGAGAATCACTATACACACTGTACAATGAAAATTTGTATAACTATACTACTTTAATTTTTTTTAGAATATGTAAAAGTGAGTAGTACATGTATACTTATTGACATTCTGAAATCTAAAGAGGTAAGATAACCTGCAATGAAGAGGGTAATAGTTTTATAAGAGAAATTATTTATACGTACAAATCATACTGTGTAAGATGATGTTGACTCAGCACCAAGGATATATGCAGCCAATTTATGAGTTTAGCTGCCACATCCTGTTGTTGCTGCTGGCTAATGGAATCTCCTGATAGAGACGAAACAATACTCAGATTATCCTGGGAAGAACGAACTGCAAGTGTACTGCCAGAGGGGCGACGGTTCTTGAGGCTCTCTATGATCTCACTTTCAGCAGTGCCAGTTGATGTGAGTGACAGACGGCTATCCTTCTTCTTCTTACCACCTGATTCTGAGAATGTATAAATATTGTGAAGAGCATCTAATATCAAGTAAAGTAACCATTTTAAGTAACAGAAATACCCATACCTCACGTTGCCAGTCAGCCATGGCCTGTGAGATGGCTATGCACCTTGCCATTGCTACATGTAATGAAACTATAAAAGTTGTGGAAAAAAGGAGAATATATAAAATTATAAAATAAAAATAAAGATTGTTTTTGTGTATTCTATGTGGGAGAAATGAATGTAATGTGTGGAGGTAGAGGGTGGTTTGTCAAGAGCTCATACAGCAACTTAAGTACTGGTAGTTAGTTAGGCATAATTCAGTTTAGATACACCTTGCACACACCTCTGCTGTACACAAACTTTATCCTCTTATTCACATATTGTCAAGTTAAATTTAGGTTTAGTTTAAAATCGCTTTACAGTTACAGTATTCTCTTATAACACCCACATTCAATTGCACTGCCTCCCCTAATGTGACATCATTGGATGCACACAGCACAGGAGCCACACAAGTTTCTGAGTCAGCAGGGTGGGTGGCTGAACTGTGTTGCCCAGAGGATGGTTTGAGGGCAGAAAGAGCTATGTTTTGTTCATAAAATGTGCTATTGTATTTTATGATGCTATAGTAGTTTTTTTTTTCATTTTTGCAGAATGTAAAGTACAGAATAACAAGGTTTCTGAGAATGAAGTGGATTTCGTGAACATATCCACTTTGTTGCAAAAGAGATACTTGTATTCAAATAAGCAGAATCTTTCCTTTATTTGAATCAGTGTGCACACTTTATTGTTATATGGAATGATTACTGAGTATTTGATTTGAAAACTCATTTAGAAATAATACAAACAGTATTTTATATACAGTACTAAATATTTACATATGACTTATACCACTTATCAGCTCACTAACCATTCAGGTGGTCAGTCTGTTCTTTATGACAACTTTCATTGCCCAGAGTTCATGCAGGAGGAAACCAAAGTATCCAGAGAAAATATGCCATATTTGGTAAAGTAACACTGGATGACACTATTGTGACTTTTCACATCTGACCCAGGAATTTGAACTCTTGAATGCAAGGCAAGTGCATTACTGCTATACCACACACTAAAAAGAGTACAGAAGACAAAATAGTGTACTTACGTTTTGCAGAATGTCCAGAGGCATCTTTGTTTGGATTATCAAAACCCCCAAAAGTTTCTGCACGTTTAGGTAAACTAGGGGACACATAGGCTTCACTCTGATGTTCTCCAACGGAACTAACTGAACGCGCAAGGTTTGTGCCCCACCCGCAAGCACCAGTTACTAATCTTAGGGCTTCCTGTAAAGATTCATTCACATGATACTTATTGGCACAGTAGTCAACTCTTTTCACATTGCACTTTATAAGCTTTCAAAAGAAAATATATCCAAAGATGCACAAATGACCAACAATGTTTCTACAGTAATAAGAATAACTTCAATACAAATTCTACAACTTGAAAGCAAATACATGTACAATACTGAATAAACATTTCTGGTTTGGGAATATTCAGCTGATATTATAATAAAATATTTCTTACAGTCAGTGAATTTATTTGGAGATCCCGGGCAGCATTATGATCTAAATGCTGTTCGTCCAGTAGAGCTCGGTATTGAGTGGTAGGTGGGAGCTCGTCATGTCCTAATAATTCTAAAAGTTCTGTCACTACACCCATTTTGTCTTCGCATAATCTTGCCAGATCTTTATCTTTGTGTTGTAGGATACCTGAAATACAAACAGATTTCAACTGTACAGTACCTGTTATACCACATCAAAGAATAGTGATCCTTGACTAAATCAGGATTCGGTAACTTGAGATCTTTGGACACTACAGAGGACAAGTATTGTATTTTAAGCAGAGGTCACAGTCATTCTAAATAAATCAACTTTTTAACCCCTTGTGTAGGGGGGTCCCCTCTGAGCTGAATAAACCGTCTGGCGTTAACCAAATACTGTAAAGTATTTGAGGCGCGTATGACCCAATTGAACAAAGTGCCAATTACCGGTACATATACTATACAGTACCGTACATGCAGTAAGTGTAACTGTACCCTACATACAGTACTATACATAGTAGAGTGGACAGTGCATGCCTACTGTAGGTGTAGAGGTGTATGTACAGTATACAGTGCATGTACAATCCCTCCTTCATGGAGGGAGAGAAGAGTGACAGCAACACTTGCTACAGCGATGGTACAGGACAAAGACAGGCCATCCTGTATAATTATATCTCCCTTTGGCCTGCCTGCATCACAAGCAATAGTGTCTGCATAAATAAATGTCGTACAGTACCACTCTGTGTCTGTCTGACTGCAGTTAAGCCTTCGTAGCAATGGTGCTCCCTGCCAAATGTGTAATTTAGATGCGGAAACATTCACCAACACCCGGGAAAAATTCCGTAGATATGTGATTTATTCCAGGGATTAGAGAATTCATCTCAATACCCGGAAATCTCTAAAACCCGGAAACGCTCTGAATCAAATGTTCCAGTGTAAAATATTAAAAGTGGGATGTCCATAGTGAAGGGTTTAAGCAGATTTTAAGTTAGAAGTAGAAAAAGTCTTGCTATTATTGTAGTAATGAGAAATTAAATGTAATCTGTCTCCCATCATCCACCGTATTGCACAGAACCCCAAAATACAGATGATGTCTAAAGAGAATGGTCTTTTAGGTAGGGAAGTGAAAATATTATATATATTACACTGTATGTAATTCAGAGGCACAGTCCCAGGTTTAGGGGTTTCAAGGGGTTTGCCCATCTAGGATGCAGCAATGTGTGAATATAAGAGGAGAGCACAACTCAGTGATTTTTGGTGAAGGATGTGAGTGAAGGAACTTGGGTAAACCAGATACGTATGTTACAGCCTTATTGTGGAATGAGATGTTACAGCCTTATTGTGGAATGAGAGTAAAGAGAACATACCTCTTACAGCAATAATAGTGAATGGATAATAATGAATGAAGAGAGAATGTGCATTTGCTTTTAATTCTGGTAACATGCTGAGCGTCACATTTTGAGTCATATCACAAAAACTGGTTTTTAGAAAAAAAAATGGCTTTTTTAATGACTGTCATCCATGTTATTCTATACTCAAAGTGTTTGGTAATATTTATTCTACTTCCTTTATTAGATGGTAACAGATGAAATTTTGAAATGAACCAGATAGCCAAAGACTGGAAATGTGGATGAAAAAGTTAAGAGGCTAAAATTGGAAATGACCAGAAATATTAAACAGGACTTCTCAAAGAAGAAGAGTAAAGCCATGTGAGGTGACAAAACACATGTAACAAATGTACAAAGTAATAAATGAACAAGAGGTGACAAGCAAGTGACATTACTTCTTCAGTACAAGTTATACACAAGAGACAACATGTGAATATGTGCAAATGCTTGTAATGTATTATCCACATCCCACTGTGAACAATATCTATATACTGTATTTATGTTTTATCTTACCAGTCAGCTCCCTGATTTTTTCACTGTTGGCCTCATGCAATTTGGAACATTCACCCGAGTTGTCACCCATATCATCCTCATCTGGGCAGTTCTCAATGGCTTCTCTGAAGAGAAATAGAGAAAGTAAATTAATAAAAATAGTAGATATTCTATTTTCTATACTACATTTTTTCTTACTTTACTTCAACTTACCCTTTGTGAATACTTGATAAGGTAAGCTTCATCTATAAACACATTATTTCAGAGTGCATGTGCAAACTTTGCCACATGTGTAATAGCAAACCAAACAAAAATAAACAATTCTTCTAAAAGGATTTTAAAAAAGTGGTGCTGAGCAGAACACATGACTGTTATGCTGAGATAGATGGCAGCTAAAGTGATCATTCAATCACTCAGAGTACCATCCTCATATCTGAGGGTTGGTGACCCCACTCCTCCACTCTAGATGCTCTTGTGCTGTTTTTACCAATCCTCCAAGGTTTTATATCTCTCTGAGCAGTGGCGACTCGTGCCTAGGAGCTGCAGTTCCCCAGACACTCGCTGCCAGGCGGATGATTCCTTCAGACACACAGCAGAATAATACACTACTAACAAATATATCGTAATAATTATTTTCAGTACGTTACTAAGTGAATTTTCATTAAAACCAGACAAAAATTTAAGTTACATAGTTGTTGTACGATTCATGTCTGTTATTAATTGCCGCCACATTTGAAAACAATGAGCTGCAGTCGGTGAAGCTTAGCCTTGTGTTTACATTGCGTGTGGATGGTGCAGTCAAGTCATGCTTTCTTTAATTACCCTTTGACGATGGAAAATCGAGTGAAGTACTGTACAAGTATTTGCAAAGCATCAACTTTTCAAAACTGACATTAAATGAAAAGACTGAAATCAAAGCAAGACCTACACCAGTTTTATCCATTCATTTCATACCTGAGGTAGGTCAAATTTTTGTACCCTACTGTTGTGTGAAGCTTGCAGTCCGTCCATTTTATTTTACCACGAGCCGCCAATGTCTCCGGGTACTCGGTTTTTAATTTCAATCCCCCATCCCAGTCTCTGCCTTCCCCTGACCCTCCTACCCTCAACTTTGCCCATTGATATTTGTTATTATCCCCTCATCCCAAATTATTTGACCTAAGCATCTAATTTTTCTTTTTCTGTACTTTTCAGGTATTTCTCTTGAAGTTTTTGCTAATCTTAGTACTTCCTTGTTTGATTTCCTATCAGTGTAGCTTATTCTTAGCATTAGCCTAGAAGACCACATTTCAAAGGCCCCCCCAACTTCTTTCTGGTTTCTGCTGAAAGTGTCAACGCTTTGACCCATACATCAGTCCTTACCATATTAAGCCTTTCAGCAGCCTTTTCCTCAAAGTGAAATTAATGTCCCTTTTCGTTAGGTCTTTTAGATTATTAAGTGCTGTTTTTACTTACAGTACCATATTCTTGTTTTGATTTTTTCCATACATCTACCATCACAGCTAATGTTACTTCCCAGATACACTTATTTAAGTTCTCTGTTGCCTAACAAATTTCTTTCTCTTTTTTCACCTTTTTTCTGGTTATGTATAAGAGGAAACAATTGTATGAAGAATGGAGTTGGTTTCATGAAAAAAAAATTGACCAGTTGCCGAAAAATCTAAACTATGAAAAAAGATACAAGACGGCTCAAGGTCACAACTAACCCCGCTCATGGGAGGAGTACAGCTAATAAGGCAGTGTGCAAGTGTGTGTTGAGTGACACTGTTTCACACACATGGGAACAAGAGTGCCATAGTATATAATACAACTGTTCCTTTATTTGACAGGTGACCTTCAGCGGTAACATTACATTTCAACATGGACTGGAACATGTATTTTATACTTTGTCTAATGATGACAAATACTAATATTAGAGATAAGCTTCAGATAAGATAGAGTTTATGGATACATACCCAGACAGTTTCTTAGACAAACAGACTCATACCATAACAATTATATTTCTAACAGGTGTATAAATGACAGGATTAAATCTGAAATTCCCCCTACTGACAGATCCTAGAGCCTTGTGCTTCTTGTTTTAATATCCTCAAGCAACACCCAATCATACTGCTAAGGTAAAATTATGGCCCACTTCATAAATGCACTTTATAAACTAAACAGCACATATGAGCTAACTCCAGATCTCCAGAAGGGTTAATGAATGACAGGTAAGCTACTTCTGTGTCATGACCTGACAACCTCTAACTCTTGATGGCAACACCTAACACTTAGGATCCCTCTATGAGTGCTGATTGAAGGTGGAAAGTTGGCTACACTGTTATTGTTTGACATTCCCAGAATGGTCATTACTTTACACAAACATATTATTTATGAAGATGCACAACACTTAATACAGTACAGTGAGATCTCATATTTTGCGCGATTTCATTTCGCATTTTTTAATTTCGCGAGCACTACCTAATGTAACCAAGTCTTATATTTTGCGTAAAATATCGTCAATTTCGCGAGATCCAGCCAGCTGAATGCTGGCTACCGTCTTGAATGATGTCACAGCCCTCATACCAGTTACAGTCATATCTGCTGCAACGCGATTGATGAATAGGAGAAAGCTGTTTGTAAAACGCGAACCTTTGCATACGAATGTTAGCTATAGCACGATTCCATCCTCAATGTTTTAAGAGTGGCGCGGGGTTATGCAATGTTTACAGTTCACGTTCCACATCACATGTTCAATTGATTCGTGTCTTTTGTTTGTGAAGTGGTTTTTTTGAGAGGTACTCTGTAAATTTCGTTCTTTTTTTGCAAATTTAGCTGTTACCCATAAATACTGCATGAAAAAAATAAGTAAAAAGAATGTTTTGCAGCGAGGACTAATAACAGTTTACACCAGTGCTCTCTGTTAACATCACATGATTAGTTGTATCATGCGGTTTTTGTCGATTGCTCCGTGATTTTTGCAGTTTTCTCCAATTTTGTTGTGTTAGCGATGAATATGGAAAGACAAGGAAAGAAGAACGTTTCCAAGAAGCCTTCTGGTGATTAAATTGCCGGTGGTGAACGTAAAAGAGGTTTACAAGAACGTAAATATCGCATTGTAGCCTGCGTCATCCTGGTGATCACCCGGGCTGCTATTATGTGCTTTTTTGGGTGGTGCTACCACCCGTCCAGTCAAGATAATGGCCCCTACCTCTACTGGGAGTCCTGCTGGTGGTGGTGGGACAGACCCACCTAAGCGGCCAAATAAGGAAAAGGAGAAGTGGGACTATCATAAGGGAGTTAAGTTTGCCAAGTACTCAATGCAGGATAAGCAGAGTGTGATTAAGTTACTTGAGGAAGGCCTAAAAACTAGTTTCCGGAAAGCACAATCAGGTCAATAGAGGCAGAATTTGTATCATTTGGAGGTTATACCGGGTAAATGGGAAAATCAGAGGTTGACAGTAGTAGGCCGAAGGTCTGGTGAAGTATTTATTTATGTCCTTTAGATTGAGTTTTTGTTTTTTGTTTATAAAATGTCACAGAAGTGACCGGGGAGAATATAATTTACATTGTTGGAATTCTTATAAGACAGTGAATAATTTGAATATAATCATGCTATAATTTGCACAAGAAAAAATTTTAGTAATCATTTAGTACAATATTTTGAGTACATGTACAGTACAGCTTTGCCCTTAGGACAGTGTAGCGTGCCCAGAGAAACATTAGGTGCGAATTTTAAAATATGATGTGACAGATTGACTCGCGCAAAATAGGAAATATTCGCTTTAAATTAAAACATTGTTCTTAATTGTGAGTGTCGCTTTAAATAATAATCTTAAATTGAATTGCTTTAAATTGACGTTCTACTGTAGTTATTGTTTTATCTAAACTGCATAGAGGATGTTCCCATAATTCTGAAATTGAACCTCTCAAGCTGACTAATAAAGCAAATTACTATATAAAATAATAAAGACTAAATTACCTTATAGATTCTAGCCATATCTTCTTATCCTTGGGGTGAGCACATTCAAACTCAAACATTTCTGCAGAATTTTTGGAGTAGATGAGGTAGATGACCTTTGACCCTTCGCCAGCCTTTTCCCGTACTATAAGTTTCCCTAGGGGGATAACACCGGCTTGCTGAAAAATAAAGATGGCAATTAGGATTATCAAGGTATTCTAAATTAAGGTATGGAAATAATATTCCATTTTTGAATGCAGCTGTAAATCTTAAAGTACAGGGGCCCCACAAATTAGCAGATTTTTATTTTGAGGTCCTCTATTATTCACGGATGACACTCTGGATGTACCCAAGAATGTCTGTGGGTAGTTTTAAAGTTGCCGGCATTTTTGCGGCTGGGACAGGGAGCCATTCGTTCTAGAAACAGTAATTTCCTTTACCTGTACGTGGGAATAGCATTGGTGGCGAATACAGTATCCCTAAACTTCTCTCGCCCTTCCATTCTTTCATAATTCCAAAACTACCATTGATGTAGTTGAGACCAAAATTGAGACCATTTGCAGTGTTAGCCTTTTTGGATCACCTGAAAATTAAGCCCTCCAAGTGCACCCTTCAGCTTAACCAGCATATTATTTTACCAATGAAACTAGTACTGTATTTGGGGGATAATCTTCTGGTGATTCGTAAAGGCTAATACTAATGCAATGATCATCTTCGTTACAACTACAATACTGACCTCTACTTATCCAGTTAAGACCTCTTTAATTAATACAGCCATGATGACACCAACTTCACTACGAAATCATTAACTCATACTAAAAGCACAATTAAAATTCAATAAGTAAGTATCTCATGTATACAAATGGAATATAAATAATACAATACTGTACAATGAACCAACAGATTATTATACCATAAGCATAAAAGGCCAAGACGTTTTCTAGTACAGGTTGTACCTCTCTAGTCCGGCATTCTGTGGTCCGGAAACTCCCGTGGTCCAGAATGATTTTAGTTTGTCCAATAGGTAGATGGGCAGTTTTTTTTTTTTTTTATCTGAATTATTATTATTATTACAGGAGTATTAAATTTTTGCCCCTCAGGCCCCAATGCGGGTCAGTGACCTATGCCCGGGTGGGCTAATCCCCATAAAAAACAACAATAACAAAGCCGCGGGAAATTAAGGTTTGTTTACATCCGGCAGTTCGGCTGCTCTCTCTCTCTCTGCTTGTCTATACAGAGTACAACATTTAACCCTTCAATATATATGAGCAGTAAATAAGTGCTGCTTTCATATTCTTATGTAGAGTAATGACGATATGTTTTCACATGTGCGCACTTACATACACGCAGTCTCACTTTTTTTTTTACCATTAATGGTTAGCTACTTATATTGTTCCATTTATTAACATTAAATAACATTACAGGTACTTCAAACAACCATATTAATTTTTTTTACATTAATTTTACTACAGCTACAATCAGGGTCTTATTTTCTTCAGTTTTATATGTAGAACCAATCAGTCACTGGTTTTGTAAGCTTTAACATAAACAATGCCGTCTCGTCTTCTCGTGTGTTTTAATATTCCACGTATTATTAATAAATTGTAATGTTAATTTTGCACACACAAACATTAATTCAATACAAACAAATTCAGAAACATTAATTAAAATATATATGAACAGTAAATAAATGTTGCTTTCATATTCTTATATAGAGTAATGACAATATGTTTTCACGTGTGCGCACTTACATACACGATCTCTCTTTTTTCTTTACCATTATCGTTAGCTACTTCTATTGTTCCATTTATTAACATTAAATAACATTACTTAAAACAACCATATTAATTTTACTACAGCGACAACCAAAGTCTTATTTTCTTCAGTTTAATATGTAGAACCAGTCAGTCACTGGTTTTGTAATCAACGAAAACAATGCTGTGTCATTTCCTCGTGTGTTTTAATATTCTACGTATTATTAATGAATTGTATTGCTCATTTTGCACACATAAACATTAATTCAATAAAAAAGACTTTCAGTAATAAACAATAATGAATCTTTTGTACATAAGAGAAATGACGCTGTTTACACGATTATGCATGTCGTCTGCACGTTGGCGGGCCGTTCAAACCCGTCGAAATTCAAGTTTCCGCCGTCAAAATTTTTATTTATTTTTTTTTGTTCCAATAAAATACGTTGAATTAAAATTTGAGAAGTTACTATACGACATTTAACCCTTCAATATGTCTTCAAAGAGACCATGATGCAGAGAAAGTGGTGCTACTGCTTCCAAGCGTAAGCGCAAGTCACTATCTATCCAGGAAAAGGGTGAATTTCCATGGTCCGGCACCGGTCAGGTCCCGAGGTTGCCGGACTAGAGAGGTACAACCTGTACTGTATTATTATGAGCTCCCATTTACTGTACTTCTTCCTCTTGCACTGAATTACACTTACCTTAGTGTCAGGAGAAAAGAAGGAGTATTTTTGGTTGTTTTCCAATAGAAAGAACACTAAATCTGACAGAACCACTACTTGCACCATTATTGGCTTTCCTTTTTGTTGACTCAACATAGCTGAGCCTTCGAACCTGCAAATCAAACTTTGTTAGAAATGCTCATATCTAAGTTATATTCACTTAAATCATAAAATACTACAGGAAAAATAATACAGTACAGTATTTAGAATGTTTTCTAACTGATGTAGGTCTACAAAAGTTGCTTCCTCCTCTACATGTGATACAGCAAGCCCTCAATTCACATGTATATTGTATTCATGGGTAATGGAGTTTGTGATCTTGGATATTAAAGTTTTCTTTGCAACTTATAAAAAATATAAGTCTGTTTATCAAATCAATATTTTCTTGTACAGTAAACCCAATAAAGTAGTACTTAAGTAATTCTTTGCTTACCAGTGCAAATACAGTATTTTACACAATGCAGTAATGCTGGGTAATTGATTTTTAAGTAAATACTATAGAAAATGTCAATGCAGAAGACAACTAGAGTGAACTTCTCCCCTCACAGTATTAGTGGACTACATAAACATGATGGAGAGGCATGTTGCCAATATATTACTCTCTTGAATATAACTACTATAACACATTAAATATTCATTATTGTCTAGCTTCACTATAAGTCCTGTTTAGTTTCATTCTCTCCTCAGAAATAATTGACCTCTTCCGGCATGTACTTACTTGAGCTTTCTACTTCTAGAAAAGAAGTCAGATTTCTTGAATTTGTGATCTTTGTATATTGCAGAAGATTTTGCATCAATTTTATGGTAAATTTCTAATAATCTTTGTTCTCTCTCCTTCTCAGCTACTTGAGCATTGATATTTACAAGAATTTCCTGGAATAAAGAGAAAATCATCAGTTTTACCAATAAAATCAGCACAAAGTTTAAAATTACAGTAAAACACTGAAAAAATCTAGAAATAATCAAATACAAAATAAAATTAATCAAATGTACAGTAATATCTCCGTTAGCTGGAATCCCTCAAACCCAGAACTCTCCGATAGCCAGAATTGAAATTTTCTCGGAAAATCGTTCCCAAAGTTGGAATTTTCCGTAAAATTACGGCTTTAGGAAAGATTTTTTGAGGGAAACACTTTCTGGAAAATTTTGGAAAATTCAGGGGATAGTGGAGTTTTTTTATGGGTTTGAGAGATGAAAATCAGGCGCATTTTCCGGAAGTCCCGAGAAAAATTATCCGGTACCCAGAAAATTCCACGGATGGGGGATATTTATCCGGGTTCGAGAGATGATGTAATGGGCAATTTCTGGAACATCCGTGAACATTTTGCGAGAGTATTATGCATTATGTATTATACTGTTATATTCATATTGTACTGTATTGTGTAATTACATTCTGAAATGTATGGAGGATCATTTTTTTTTTGTCAATTGTTGAACTGCCCCCATGGTTGTTCGGACCTGTGATCCGCATTATCAGCCAACGTGTGGTGGTGCCAGTTGCCGGTCAGCCAGGACAGTTGTACCCTGACCGGTATTGAGAGAGAATCACTTGTAACCTTGTCAATAAATCCAACTAGAACTCCCCGTTTGCTTGACTTTGACTCTTTTTCCGTTACCTGGTAAATTCCAGAAAATTCCGGGGACGAGGGGTTTTTTCCGGCTTTGAGAGAATCGTCTCGTTACCCGGAAATCTCTCATTCCCGGAAGTGCTCTGCACTAATTCTTCTGGCTAACGGAGATATCACTTTTTTCCTGCCTGGGTGTAATTCACTATGAGTACATGTGACGCTTCTAGAATACAGTACAGTGGAGAGTTAGAATTCAGAAAATAAAAAATCCTTATGTCTTAGAATTCTGGCATTCTTGAATAATAACAATAATAAATATCAACTCAATGGTTATCAAACAAAATAGGATTACAGACTGAATTAGGAAGATATGGTCAAGACGATGATATACAGCACATATCAATGAAAATAATTTGATCTTTAAAAAATAAATATATTATAAAATACTACTACACATGGGAAGTTCAGTATCAGAGCAGCAAATGAAGTCACACTGTACAGAGAGGGTCATGTCTGAAACAAACAACCAAATTCTAAAACCTCTCCGGGGAGGACAGAGACAAGCTTCTAAATAATGGAGCCTGATTATTTTTGTCAAAAGTCTATGAATTAATTTAATCAAATCTACCATTTCACCATTTATCAGCTTGAAGGCCATTTGGGCAGCACCTCTATCCTTTGTTACTATGTTATGAAATTTATTGTCCAGTACAGTATTAGTGATATCTATATCAGTTATGACAACTATTATCTGCATATTAACAATAAAAAAAAATCAGGACAAATCAGTGTTTTCATGTACCCGCACCCAAGAATTAAAACATCAATATCTGTACTGCACTGAGTTTTCAACCTAACAGTAGGCAAAGAGGAGGCTGTGGCTATTAATCTTGAAATTATATCAGTTGTACACTTTAAACCCTGAGATTTGCAATTTACTTTGAGCGTCTGAATTTCCACCAACATTATTTGGAAGTGTAGTATTTCATGGCACTCTTGTTACCTTGTTACACACCTTGACGTGTGAATTAATTGTGTGATTTAGTTGTCAAGTGTAGAGTGAGCTCACTCCATCACCTGCCACAGTTTGTTACAATAAGAGATAGCTACAGTTTTTTTTACAGTACTACACAGAGAAAAAGCATGACTGACACTGCACTCAACAATCAAGTCAGATAACCATTTACAGCTGGGTGGGGTTGTCCTGTGTCCAACCCAGGAAGCCTTATGAGATGATCATTAACTCAACTTGGCTGCTGTACCTTAAGTTTCCCTTTAGATTTGTTTAAATGTGGAGTTATTATACAGTGTTTAGCTTGTACATTCACTCCAAAGGGTATCTTTTACAAAGGGGTCTGAGGAATTCTCAAAATGAACATCGCGACTACTCTTGTCTCGGTAGGGTTGTCAAAATCCTTCGTCAGTTATGTCATATCGTCTCTCACAAAATCATAGATACTTTTGGAGGGAGTATACATATACAATGTCTAAGTTATACTCACCTTCACCAGGTCGAGGGCCTTTTTCAATGTGACTAATTCCTCTTCTTGGTCTTTACTGTATTTCATTAGTGCTTCAAGCATTAAAGGGTATTTGGTTACTCTGTGGGTTACAAACAATATACATTCTGGAATTCCCTTCTTCTTCATAAGAGGATGTGAAGACTTTTGTCTGATAAAACCTTGAAATCTTCGGTCAGTTTTGAGCATGTCCTTATAGTAAGAGACCTGTAAAATTATACATAGATTTGGTTAAAAGTCCTGTTTTAAGTTTTACTAAGAAATTCAATGAATAATTAATACATTTTACCTAACTACAAGCACAGCCAAATTTCCACAAGGATAACCAGGTGGTTCATGCAGGATCTACATGTGACAACAGGCGCACCTTGCCGTACTGTATGTAAGAGTTGTATTCTCAAAACAGCTCACATAAAGAAATTTACCACAGAGCCAATTATTACATGTTATAACATGGATGTATTCCAGGGCCTCAACTGTATATATAGTATATGAAGCAATCATCTAATGTTATAAAAAAATAAATAAAGAAATATAACAGGTATTAACTCTACAGCACTTCAACACTCACCATTAACTGACCTTTTCATTTGGGTCTGCTCTTCAATACACAGTACTGTACAGTTTCGTTCAAGATTCTTTGAACACTGCAGGAGACAGCTGGCAACTCAAGGCCATTTGTTTACTATAGTATGTAGCATAATATAATATGAAACAACAAAGCCCAACCTTTTAATTAAGCAACGGGGAACTGAGTAACCAATCACCGATAAGGGCTTCTTATTCTTGTCATTATCTTTCCACAAATGATGATGAATGCATCAGCAAGTTCCTAATTTTGTTGGCAATCTTCTTAAAGGTACCCATTGTGCATTCCATAAAGCCAAACACATGACCAAAAGTTGACATACAGGTACTGTTGGCTGCTTAAATATTTCTAACTTTGTTTCTTATGTTAAAGCAGTCCTCATTCACTTCTTCAATGGATAAATAGAAGGGTTGGGAGATGCACAAGATTGTGTAGAAGGTCGCTAAAGCCACACTGCACTTGTCAACAGTAATGGCAAGAAAAGACAGTAGTGTAGGTCAGCACACAACACTGAACAATGTGTGGGCTGCCTCGCTCGGCTACTAACTCACTGCTCCACCCACTGCCACAAGGCCTCACGATGGCAGAGTCCACATACACCTTCACTGATCGCAATAATTAGCACATCCAACTCGGCCAGTTGCTTAATTGCAGATTTTTCTTGCACAAGATGAGGAAGTAGTAGCAATAACCTTCTCATAATAGTGAAATCACATTAAGTGAGGTCATAGTAGAATTCCCAACATCCTTGCATGCCTGCTCCTCTCATACAAACTCAAGTGCAGGAGACATTAACATTGAAAACAATCTTCTGTGCCAATCTGTCCAGCATGTCTCTACCCACCACTCTGCAGATTACTGAGCATCACTCCCACTCTTAACTCTTATCTTTCTACCAAGTCCAAACTCAATGTCAACAAAAATATAGCAAAGCAATTACTTTATGCAAATAAGACAATATTAAGTGGCATATATTTAACCTTCCTTCCACCCAATAGTCTAACATTAACCATAGATCATAACCATAGATCAGTCTTGAAAACAGACAAAATCTTCCCACAAACTTGATTTTTTCTGAATACAATATGTCCCAATCCTTTTCCTCTCAAAGACTTACTCTTCAACCCTTAGACAGCAGCTACTGAAAAACCTGCTTACTGCTGTATATGTAAAAAAAAAAAAAAAAACTTAAATGCCTTTGGAAAGTTATACAGTATAGAAATACATTAACGCTGAAAGCAGAAGAGTAAAGAAGTAATATCTACTGTATTCAGATAACTGAACAAGCTCATGCATTTATTGGTAAGTTAATGGAGTGTGTGCTTGACAACTTGCCTTCTTCTCACAACATCTTATCACTTACCTCTGCCAAGTTCCCTTTCTCCCTAAACCTTATTGCATAATTACTCTTTCTCAAGTTAATCTTTCAGACTTTCAGTCAAACTACCGGGGTACTTAATATCTAATATTATACTTCATTAGCATCTCCAAGGCCTATGCAGCTAGTGTTTTTAAAACGATTTTGCTTGATGCACTGATAAAACTAGATACCACACACAGCACACTTATAACAATTTCAAAGAATATACCATTATCATATGACAGGAAATTTCTAGGCCAAAATATTTTCATTTTCAAAATTAAGTAGTACCAAGAGGCATGTCTTGAAAATACCTTTTTCAATAGTTTGCAAACTTACAGCATCTTGGTGTTGTGAGCAGAATTGTCCATAAGCATCCTTAAGTCCCTGTGCATTATCACCCATGAACTGGTCTATTAAAAGATCCCCAATTGTTTCAATATACTTGTTGCCTCTCTGTCTCTGTCGCAACCGCCAAAGAAATGAGCAATGTATTGTTATAAGTTCATCCAAACAGGGGAAAATTCTTTTAATTCTTGACTCTTGCATATTAAGCTCACGAGACATTCCTTCTGCAAATACCTGAAAGACATAATATTATATTAGAAAAGAATTTATTAACATTCATAAAACCCATATACTGTACAGTACCTATATTGAATATGTAATTAAACACGGCTTTATAAAGTTTTAGCTTCTTACAACAGTTGAAACTAGCAAAGGATTATATCTGAAGTGAATGCACATGTAATACCCATAGGATGACTTAAAAAACACTGTTAACTTTTGAAAATTACTTACCTTCTGCATAACTTTGAGCATACGACAGTGATGTTTTTCTGTTATGATAAGTTCATAGATGTGCTCTTGCTTCTTCACTTGCTTTTCCGTCAATTTCTCAATAATCTGGAAGATTAAGAAATTAATATTAACTTCTTTGGCTCAATGACCTTTAAGTGAGTAAATTATAATGCATGGGACATTTCTAACCTCAGTATATTTGAACATTACACTTCAAGTAAAATACTGTACTGTATGTGGTTCTTGTACAGTAGTTGTCATTTTGCAGTAATTATACAAGGTACTGTAATAAAGCAACTATCAAATAAAGTACATTAGAGATAGCATCCTTTTTTTTTTTTGCAAACAAGAGGGGTCTCATTTTACTGCAAAGTTAATTGCATAAAGTTCACATACAGGAGCTACACAAGCAAGAGACATGATGTTAAAAGAAAAAGACTACTGTACTGTACTGTATTGTACAGTATACCTATCAGAAAATTGAGAAGCAACTTGTACAATACAACAGTTCCCAACTCATTAGTGGGGTTAGTTTCCAACAGATCCTGTAAATTGTAAAGTTTGCAAATTGTGATGCACCTGTGAGGAAAATGTGCCCCCAAATATTGTTCTTAAATCCACTTACACCCCAAATGTAGCTGTTATTTTTATTTCATATATACCTGTACTAATTAAAGATTCATAATGAATAAAATAAGGATTGGTAACATAATACAGTAATGAGATACTGTATAAAATAAACAGAAAACTTACTACCCTGTAGGATGTGGTTCTGTAATTACAGATGAAAAAGTCTATACCAATGAAAATTGTATAGGTAAATTTAGGAATGTAAAACTGAAGTACTGTATATCTAGCATATAATATACAAAGCAAGAAATTCCTTAAATTCTACTCAAATCTGTGAAAAAATTGCAGTATTCAATGGCAACATTTTTAATCTGAGAGTAACAAGGTTAAACAAGTACAGGAAGTAGTATGAAATGCAGCTGGAGATAAAAATGTTGTGTTGATCCTATTTTATAGCAGAGCTCATAGCCAGGTGGCTCTTTGTAGTGTGTAGCTAATTATAGAGGTTTCTGTATCATGGTGTGCCTGCACTTGAAAGTTCAGGGTGACCTAAGGATTGACCACCTTTCACTTCAAAACATCCTAACTTCCTAAAGATATTAGAGGCAAAGACTGTCCTCATCAGGCAGGAGGTCGAATTAGAACTAAGCTACTTCTAGGTGTAACTTTTACCAATGCTTTGAGACACCATCTTGATTTCAATGCCAAGCTACCATTTTGTTTTAATTTCCATTTGACTAACCACAAACCAAAAGGAAAAAAGAGGGTATCCAAGCTTCCTGGCCAGGGGCTATGCTAGAAAACTGTGAGGTAGTTGAGATCACTTAGTTGGACACTGAGACAGAGACCTGCCATTCAAAACTGAGATCTCTTAAAAGTTGAGACCGAGGTCAAGACCAATCACAATTTAAGAATTAATCTATATGTCTAAGCATAAGGTGGGTTTTTAGAGAAAAAAAATTTAGTACAAAATTAGGGTCTTAATTTACGTACATAAATACAGTACAGGTATAAGATTTTAGAGGGGTTGGAATCAATGGATGATGAAGGGTCAGTGTTATCACAAATATGGAAATATTTATGAACTACTGTACAAGTAGTGTGGGTTTGTATGCACCAACTACCAAATGATTTGTACAGTTCGGATGCAAGGTATTCTGAACAGCCAGGATATTAGTGGGTTGAAGCAAAGATGTTAGTGAGTAGTGTGTGAGAAATGACCATGGTAAAGTGGTTGTTGATAATGAAGAAAATAAGGATGCCTTGAGAAACACTATGAATGACTACTGAATGAGGAGTACAAATGAGACAGGGCTAGGCTAGGGGTACCAGAACCAGTACAGAGACCATGACCAAGGAATGAAAGAGATCAGGTGAAGAAAGCAATTTACAATATGAAGAATGGAAAGGTGGTTTGAAGTTCTGGAATGGTTACAGAAATGCTGAAAGCTTCAGATAGCATAGGTTTATCAATGGCAGCAAAATTAATTAATGCAATCATGATGGCATGTACTGTTCCAGAAGACTGGCAGTAGAGTACGGTACCAGCATGATCGTGAATACCCTGCACAGTACATTACTGTATTTAAAAGGGTAAAGGTGATGCACTTGAATGCAGGAACTACAGGGGCCTGAAACTATTTGATCAGGTTATGAAAATTGTGGAGAGTGATTGAGAAATTAATAAGGAAGAGAGTGGATATAAATGAAATGCAGTTTGGGTTCAAGTCATGAAGGGGGACAGCAGAGGCAATATTTATGGCCAGGCAACTACAAGAAAAATATCTAGGGAAGGAGAGAAAGCTATACAGGCACTTCATATTTGTAGACTTAGAGAAAGTATTTACCAGGGTACCACATGATATAGTAAAGTGGCAATGAGAAAGCTAGGCATAAAGGAGTGCCTTGTCAGAGTGGTTATGGCAGTACAGTATATGAAGGTTCAAACACCACTGTGAGAGTAAATGGTGAGGAAGGTGAGGAATTTGAGTTGAAAGTAGGGGTTCATCAGGAGTCTGTCTTGCACCCCCTTCTGTTTATCATGGTGCTGGAGACAATATCACTGGACTTCAGGACTGGTCTGCCCTGGGATTTGTTGAATGTTGATGGCTTAGTGTTGATAGCACAGAGTACTGAAGAGGCAGCAGAAATAATTTAAGAAATGGAAGGAAGGAATAGAATCAAAGGGTTCGAGTGTGAATGTGGCAAAAACCAAAGTAATGCATTAATTAATAGCGAGGATGAGGGACCTCTGGTGGAAAGTGGAATATGGCCATGCGCTGTCTGTACCAAAGGTGTTGGCAGCAACTCAATAATGTGTAGTGATTGTGGAAGGTGGGCAGATTGCAAAATGTTGATGAATCTAAAATTTCTGAGAACAGGTAACCATGTGGCCTTGGCAAGGCTGGAGAAACTCAACATTGGGGATATGTCGATGGACTGTGTCAATAAGTTCTATTACCTGAGTGACATGATCAGTGCTGGAGGGGGTGCTGAAGCGAGCTCAGTTGCAAGAGCCAGAAGTGGTTGGAGGAAGTTTAGGGGGTTGCTGCCTTTATTGACGGCAAGAGGACCTTCCCTCTGCATGAAAGGAAAGATGTATGTAACAGGCATGAGAAGTGTGATGTTGTTGGGCAGTGAAACATGAGTAGTTGGAGAGGATGACATACACAGGCTTGAGTGAACTAAAATGAGAATGGTGAGGTAGATGTGCAATGTCATACTAAAAGAGAGGAACCCTGTTCAGAGCTAAGAGGGCAGCTAGGTATTGAGAGTATTGGCAAAATTTTGCAGAGGTAAGTCAAGATGGTTCAGGCATGTGGAGAGAATGGATGAGACCAATTGGGTCAAGAGATGCATAAGTCTAAATGTGGAGGGAAGGAGAACCAGAGACAGGCCAGAATGACATGGAGAGAGTTTGCAAGAAATTATATTAGAGTTTAGAACCTGATAAGAGAGACTGCAAAAGACCCTGCGGCATGAAGAGGTGCCATCAGATAATCGCCGTTAACTTACACAAGCACGGAAAATGGCCATAAAACATCGACTTAGATGAGGACAATGACGAGATAAGCATGTTAGCACTTAATTGCAAGTTAGGAAGAAGTTTGTTGAGGGAGTAGTCTCAATGTAAATTTTGAATATAAAAATTAACTCATAATTCCACTACAGTAATTAAAGGAATAATTATCTATCAAGAGCAATGTATCAATTCAGTAAAGTACTGTAAAAAAAAACCTTACTTCCTTGTCAACGGTGTGGACCCAAAGCTCAGGTTCCTTGTCCAATAATCTTAACTCGGGATCAGCATCAATATCATCTAGACTTGGCTCTGTAAACATACAAGAAAGAGGATATTTCAGGCTCTCATACCAGGTATCTTTCTGTATTTAAACAAAACTGATCATCACACTGGTTACTGACCAAGTGCATGATCTGGGAGGAAACCACTGTGAGACATCAGTGTCGTGAGGTGTGTTGTATTGAGCAGGGCCAGAGTTATAAACAAAATTAATACTGTAAGTGGTACAGCTGCAAAATTACACTTAGCTTCTGCGTAAGTCCTGTACTGTGCCTTGCATGCTTACTACCATACACACAGGCAGACCTCTTATAATGGACGAGATACATTCCAGAGAAGTGTCCGTTAAGAGAGTAGTCAGTTAAAAGAGATGGCGCCTAAAGAGCTGCATTCCTGATAGTGTGAATTCTTCCCCTTTAAATACTACAAATGGTGATATGGCTTTTTACAGATAAAACAGACACTAAACCTATATTTACAAACATAATTAAATTTTATCTCCATTTACTAGTTACAGTTGAATCTATCAAACAAGTTTACTGATACACTGTACCGAGTTTAATAATTTCTTTGGCTATTTCCTAAAAAGCAGTGAATAGCAGTGGTGCAATAAATACAGTAATTGCTTGATAAGTATAATAACCAATATAACTTATTATCTGAAGCAATTTACAGTACGGTATTTCCTAAAGCTGGCTGGGGTTAGGTAAAATGGACCCCGTGAGAAAGCAAAATCCGCGAGTTTTTCATGCCAGTCCCAGGAGTGTGCAAAATATATATATATAAATAGCTATATGCTCATGTATAACAACATTATGTATGCATAAGACAATATAATAAATATGAAATAACATAAATAAATAAACAAACATGAAATAACACTGTATGGACATTAGGTCCACACAGTGAGTGTTAGCTGTAGTAGTGACAATGCAAAGACAATACTTTACCTCTGAAACTTCAGCTGATCTGGTGCACAGGATGTAAACAATCCCTGTACAGGACAGTTCCTAGTGAACATGCCCAGTACCAATAATTATTTGCAATGTGTATACTGTAGGTACCTATACGTATAATTATATCCTTTTGTATTAAATTAGATCAATTTTATTGATAATACCAACAAACGTTTGATACAGTACTGTATAATTATAATAGGTTCATAAAGTGAGAGTGAGCTGTGGTAGTGAGAAACATGATAGCATATAGCCAGTGACTTGGCTTTGCCAGTACTGTAGGCTATTAAATCTGTGAAAAATATTTTTTCCAAAATACACCTTGCTAATTATAGGGTGCATCTTATGACCTGGGAAATATGGTGCTCAGTATTGAGTAGTGCTGACTCCTCTTGATCCCTGGCACAGCCTCAGAATTATTTTATTTATTTTCCATGGCAATCAGTGAGATTTTTTCTCACATTTTTTCTAGATTTTACTTCTGCAAGTTAATGAATAATGTAATCTAATTTTCTATCATGTATACCAGTAAAGTAATACAAAATTTTGAAGTAAGATACTGTCTACGTAACTGATAATTTTTCTCTTTCTCAGATTGAATACAAAATAAATGTTTACTACTATTTAAAATTATGAATAACAATAAGAAAATGATCCTGTACATACCTTCATTTCCACCATCATCCAAAGATTCCATAGAAGCAGAATTGACCTCCAAGATACTGCAAAATTTAATATATATGAGAAGAGAAAACATACAAAGGACAAAAAAATGTACTGTACTTACTAATATAATGTCATGCAGGATAAACCAATAAAGATATGAATAAAATCACACCAGCATCCCAAAACTTTGAGGCATATCCTGTATATACTAAGTACAAAACACACACACACACATTATATATATATATATTTTTTTTTTAAATCACTGGATCCCAGAAACGATAATTTTACTTTGTAAAGATACTGTTTACTGTTACAATGTTCACACCCTCATTATCACATTTTATATCCTACAATAAGACCTACACTTAATATAGCAACTTCTTGGTTGTCATGGCTGAAGCTTTTATCTTGTTTGCATTCTTAATAATGGTTCTAACAGTCGATGGAGCCATGTTTAAAGCAGCACCGACATCCACCTGATGCTCACCAGCTTCAAGACATGATATTTTACATCCAAGGAGATAAGTTTCCGTGGCACCTTATACGCACTAGCAGCATTAAAACTTGCAGGCCGGTTTCCAGACATGATGAGTAATAAAACGTTAATATAAAAAAATCAGCGAGTCAACAAAAATGTAAAGAAGTTTAAAGCACGGCAAATTTGTACTGTAGAGTGTAAACAGAGTGCTTGGCGCTGGTGTTGTGAGTGTTGTGACTTTTGATTACTTTTTTCTTTTCCCCCCTAGAGCTCCAAAATGCAAACACGAGCGCTATAAATGTAAAATTTTCCATGTCAGAGAAGTGTTCATAAACTGTAAATAATAAAGATTAAACAAATTCTTATTATTAGTCCTAGAGGGATTTTGTAAATGCCTGGATGAACAAAAGGTCCCCAGTGATTATAAGTGGCTTATGTGAGTCCTATCTTCAATAAGGGAGATCGTCACTCCACGAACAACTGTAGGCCGGTGAGCCTGACCAGCAAAATATGTAAAGTACTTGAGAGTATTATCAGAGATGCCGTGATGAAACATCTACTACGAAACAACCTTGTAAAGGATTGCCAACACGTTTTATGCCGGGTCGCTCCTGCTTAACACAATTGCTTAAGGTATTGGATATTTGGACCCATATTCTGGAACAGGTTGGTAATATCAATAATATATACCTAGATTTTGCCAAGGCTTTCAACAGTGTACCCCACGAAAGGCTGAAAATTAAACTGGAAGGGTACGGAATTCTGGGAAATGTCCTAATGTGGATAGAAGACTTTCTACAAGACTGCAAGCAGTGTGTGGTGATTAATGGCACGAAATCATCATCTGTACCTGACACAAGTGGGGTACCCACAGGGCAGTGTATTGGGCCCGCTGTTGTTTGTTTGTTTCATTACTGACATGCCTGACATTGTACACTCTTCCATACAAATGTTTGCCGATGACTCCAAGTTATTTCGGGAAACCAAGAACCGTGAGGACTATGAAGAGCTGCAGAACAATCTACCAGAGAGTGTTGTGACAGCACCGAGTGTGGGCTCTTTCAAGACCAGACTTGACCAACACTGGAGCAGGTTCAGGTACATTCAGGAGCCAGTGCATGCCCAGTACTTGCCTGAATGCCTTCAGGTGATCCGATTAGTTATTGAAAGTCATCAACAATTAAAAACAATGACAGATACATAACTCTGGTTTATATTTTGCTGGACAGACTACAGTATAGACCAAATACTACAGGAACTGCATAATCATGCAGCTGATGAAGCAAATTATTCCTTTAAACTTGCTACTGAAGTATTGAGAATTTCCTGTATTTTCAACTTCTGGAATTCACTAAATATTTAACTCAGAAATCTTGTAAGAAGGAAAATTATACACACAATTTCTATTAGACAGCGTCCTCACATATAAAGACACGGTAATACAAATTGTGTGTACGGTACTAGTACACACAATTTGGTTATGCCTTTTGTGGTAATTGCCTACTGATTTGTCTATATTTATTTGGGATTATAAAACAATCTGCAGTGTAGAAGTGTACTAACTGTCCTGGGACCATATCAACAATTACTGTATGTCCTAAACACACAACCATTTATAAATGTCCTATAAGATACATAAGGAAGTACATTAGGCTGTCCCACATACTCAATGACTGCTGTTAAAGTAATGTCAAAGTGCCAATCTGAAATTTCGCCCCACCCTCAGCATAACCAGAAGTTTAACCATCTCGATGCTACTGGTAACTACCGGGTAAGGGGGGGTATTCGTCAGTTGTCATCTGAAGATTCAACCCCCCCCCCTCCTCCCTCCTGTGTAACCCACCTATAGTTTAACCATCTCGACACTACCTGGGATGGCTAATCATCATGTCGCCCAAAACCTATATAACTTCTTTTAATACAGTATGAGTGTCAAAATACCACTATCAACCACATTATCAGTTCTTTAACGTGTTTGCCTATTATAGTACTAAATGCCCCGCCCTCAAATAATGGCATACCACCTACTCATCAATGTCCTTGGGTTCTTGTTGGTCTATGTCTAGGTCGTCCACAGGAGAGCATTCTGACATTGAGGTGTGACATGGCTCCGAGTGTCTTCTTTCCATGGCCGTGTCAACCTGGTCATCTGTCAGCTCCACGCCTTCAACATGAGTCTGTTTCTCAGTCTGACATGTTTGATGACTTTCTGAGTGTAAGAAAAATTTGTGTTCCACTTCGTCTTTACTCTCCATGGGCTTAATACTTTCATCCTTTTCTTTCTTTTTAAAGGATTTGTTATTTTCCTTCTCTTTTTTCTTGAATGATCTCTTTTTTTCCTCTTTCAAATCTTTGTCCCTTTCCTCCTTATCTTTGAATCTTTTAGAATGTTTTTTAACGAACTTTAAAGACTCGTTCATCTCTTTCTCAACAGCCTCACATATATTATCTACACTCTTACGTTTATCCACGAAGAGCTGAGTGAGATCATTCAGGCTGCGCGATATGGTAAACTTAGAGCGTAGGGTGTCAATCCTGCGGTGAGCCATACTGCAGCCAGTTGATCTTATTATCAAACTTTCACACCTCTAACTTTTTCAACACCCTTTTCTTAATGCTAGTAAAGCTTTTATCACTTCGTATTTTTCATTAAATATCTTCCTAAATCAAGAGATTCTCATTTTTTTATAAGTTTTGTAAAATGGCATGGAGCCACCTTGAAGCTCATGTCCATCACTCACATGTTTTATCACACTAGAAATCTGTACAAATACTTGTATACCAATGATTGATTTTCGTGAAAAATATACTTTATATAAAAATATCCGACATCTCTGTGCAAAATTGATTTATAATTAAATATTCACATAACTTGTTCTCCGTAATGCTTAGTTTTATCCTCTGAATTATCACAATTCTTTCATTAATTCTTACTTTACTCATTGCCCGGAACAATCAATTAATGACTTTCTCTCACTGAAAATCTCGAATTCACTGTTCTTTCCCTCTAACCCATCCAAAACGTGGGTAATGGTTAATAAATGTCACAGTAATGGTGGTCGTGGGCCAGGCTACACCACTGCACGTTCTTTCCCAGCGAACTGGCTCAGTGGTCCACCCACTATCAGTCTACCCCGCCGATAACATTCACAACCATCACTAACCCGCGTAACAATTATCTCTTATTTATAAATATACTTCACAAAGTTATCAATGAGAATAACACTTCATAAAGGGTCAAAGGGAATCAAAAAGGATATTAAATGGAGAAAATAAATTAACCAGAAAATTTTAACATTTCCTGTTTGTTGAGTTGTGATCACAGGAAGCAAGCTGTGTGGCACGACGGGTAAAACACAACGACAATCGATACATAGATAACAGGTGATAAGATTGTGGCATACCAGAGATTATCATAATGGGGGGATGATGTGTGTGATTCTACACGTTCCAAGAAACGTTATCACCAAGTAGGAACGTCCTATTGTTATGATCAGTATATTGTGTGACAACAGTAGCATCCAAGGGGAACAGTCGCTTTTCTTTCTTATTCTGCTCCACCAGTTTATTTATTACTAGAACTTGAAGAGTTACAATCCAGTCATTTCCCCTTCATCGTTGACATTACAATATTTTCGAATACTTTAACAAATGACAGGTAATTGGGAAGCATAAAAATCCTGATATAAAACAACATTGTCACAGTGAGTCTTCTCAGAATGATAATGCACTTTACGTAAATCCTCCATTATTACGTTCTCTTTCACGGCAACACCTCCAGGAAAAAGAGTTGCGTAGGTGACATGATAATTACTCTCGGGTCACTGATGGAAATCATGACCAAACTTCACGATAAATACGTGGTCTTGCATCATGGTAGTCACCCTAACAATTATGGTAGTTCTGATGCATGGCCTTACATTATGGTAATCGCATGGTGTTACTTTATGGCAGACACATGACACAGCTTTATAGTAATAAGACTTATGTAATGGAAGCCTTATGACCTTAAGACATAATAGAGGTTAATGGACGAGAGACATGTCTACTTACTTGGCGTCTGCGACATCATGAGGAAGCAACTCTGCCTCCTTCTCCTCGCTCTGCACCTTGCTGTCGGGGGGGAAGGAGGGTGGACCAAGACAAGAGGAGGAGGGTGGACCAAGGCAAGAGGAGGAGGAGGGTGGACCAAGACGAGAGAAGGAGGAGCAGGAGTGTGGACCAAGACAAGAGGAGGAGGAGGGTGGACCAAGGCAAGAGGAGGAGGGTGGACCAAGGCAAGAGGAGGAGGGTGGACCAAGGAAAGAGGAGGAGGAGCAGGAGTGTGGACCCAAGACAAGAGGAGGAGGAGGGTGGACCAAGGCAAGAGGAGGAGGGTGGACCAAGGCAAGAGGAGGAGGGTGGACCAAGGCAAGAGGAGGAGGAGCAGGAGTGTGGACCAAGACGAGAGGAGGAGGAGGGTGGAACATGACAGGAGAGGAAGGAGAAGATTGGATCAAGGTAGGTCAGTATCACACACCACACAGAGTGATATGAGTGCAAACAAAAAAATAAAGAAAAATGTGCCAAAATGATAAAATGATGAAAGAAAAAGCAAAAGATAAAAGGAAAAAGCAAAAGAAAGAGAAAAAAATTGGACAAGGGTTTGGGAGGAAGGGGAAAAGAAACACGCCATTAGTTTGTACACACACACACACACACACACCTGTCAACTCTTACTGCTCTATAAATTAACTTAATGACTTACATTAATTACTTCATTTAAACTACAAGAGTGGCAAAACATTAGCCTAGGGTAACTAAACCTTTTGTATCCCCAAATGAAAATTAATGCCAATATAAATCTAGTTTACGTCATGACTTTATTTACGCGGCGAAAAACTAAAATAATAACAATAATAATAATAATAATAATAATAATAATAATAATAATAATACAAGCCACAAAAAAAAATATTCAGACATGCAAATTAATAATAATGAAACCCAAATTATGCTCTTCTTTGCTATATTATTTTACACATTAATTTACTTTAGAAGGCACCAAACACTACCGCATCACACGTACAAGTTAACACCGTGAATGACTAAAAGACTCCAAAGTTATGTTAATTTTTTTCCCAAACTAAGGAGTGCAGGAATGAGTCTATAGTTACTTGAGAGAGCCAGTCAGAAGCATCTTCTTACCCTTGGCTGGGGAATAAATTGTAACACCACATATGACTTACCCACTTTACCCAAAACATACTACTTAGCTGTAATGTATGCAGCTTAAAAACATAAGTGTGTTCATATATACTGTACCAGGTATAACACTGAAAACAAACTACAGTATAACAGAATACCCAGAGATAATAACAATTAATATCAACATACTGTAACACCAACACAAACTTACACAGAGGGGAGGTAACTCTACAAGATGAAGAGTTAGTAACATCGACCAGCTTATTGGTAAACAAACTTACATCCTCGTCACGTTCGTCGTCAAAACAAGTGGGATGAAAACGCCACACAAGGATATTGGCGCATATAAAAAATATAACACCAAACAAAAACTATGCGCACACTAATTCATTAATGCACATGACTAAGGAAAGACGAAGAAATTGTCTTAGTGAGAAAATGAGATACTGTACAGAAGGAACACAGCATTCAGGCGGTTACACAACGATGCTGACGTTAGACCTCGACTAGCCAAGTTGCTCACCACGAAAATGGCTCCAAGAGTTATGTAGTGATTGACAAACACACACACATTGAGAAGATATGAATCTATGTGCCAGTGTTGTATCAATCGAGTAGTTTATAATTACAGTACGGGTATATGGGAAGTCACCCAAGGGTATTTGTGCGCTTAAAAATGACAAAAATGTTTACTAATGCACACTTAAATCGGAACAGTTACCAAGAAATTCGTGCATGTACGTGAATCTATTTTATAAGGAAGCATAAACACACAACAGTTATAATCTTTACTTGAATGTATGCAAGTAAATTTGTGTGCACACATGTGTACAGTCACGGATAAAATACTCTTAACACGTCTGGTAGCACTACTGTACTAACAATGCTTCAGTTTCCTGTCCCGTGTTCTATAAAGTAGAACACGGGATAGGAAACTTAAACATAGTGATATGATCTGAATATCTGTCCGAGTACAGTAGTGCTACCAGACGTGTCGAGGGCATTTCGTTGGTGACTGTACATACGAGTACATAACTGATTCCTATCTTGTACGAATGGATAGTTACATGTGAGTGTCTGTGAGTCCCAAGGCTAGAAGAAATACGTGGAGGACCATTAGGCCTCAATATCCACCTCGGGTGACACAAATTTGACGGGGAACCATTTTGTACCAACCTCCAACAACATTAAGAGTGTAGCTTTCAAGAAAAAACCGAAAATGTGACAAACTCCATGGACAGCCGACCATAGCAACAATACATACAGCTAGACTAGTTAGTGTGTGTGTGTGTGTGTGTGTGTGTGTGTGTGTGTGTGTGTACATTTGGATTAAGACACTGAGCTGTAACAGGAGCAAAAGATGCAGCATACGACCAGGAACACCTATAGCAACTGACCAAATCCAACATGTAAGAGCATTGTAGTATATCTATGGCAACTTCAAGTTAAATATATTATATATTATTAAAATCTGCACAATACTGTGAAATACCAACACACACAATCTTATATAAAGCCTTTCTAAATCACAACAAAGTACTGTACAGTATTAGTCCATTAACATATCTTCAGAAACATTATTACATTCATTCATTCATTATCATTAAAATCATATCATATAAAATATTACATACCACACAAAATCCTTCCAAAAACTCGAGACAACATAAGAAATATACCTGATAACAAGGCACAAATCCCTCCTTATATCTGCATTAACGAGACAATACACTCTTCACTGTGTCTCTCTAGCACTGACGAGTCTATGTAAAAACCGTCCTCACTATCTGAACACTGATAACTAGCAGCATTGTTGTTGCACCACACAACTCTTGAGGAACACCTTCCATGATTTCTCCAATAGTTGTATTATTTCTAGATTTGAGTTGGCTAGGAAGGTGGTTAAACAGTCAGGTTAAATGTAGTGTTCTTCCCTGTTGATACCTTAAGGTGAACTATGATCAGTAATAAACTTTAACGACAAAGTACCTAATACCTCTCAGGTACATCACTGCTGCCACACAACCCTTTTAATGATAAGTATCATCTTAATCCACTCATAATATGAACTATTATTGCAAAGTCGTTAGAGATTAATTTATGATTAACACCATATGGCCCACGGTCTAACTTATTCACCACGGCTAACACAAAACTGCCTTTACTTCCATTCTCTTGCTCTGCTCACTGCCTCTCTCCACACTTCTATACCTTACCATCCATACTCATGACAACCACACAGACACACACTACTCATTAAATTTTTCAAGGCTTATCTAGCTGTGTGTACCCAGTAAGTATTTTTTGCCCATCTAAAAGCAAGCGCTCCAGAGAGATATCATTCATACGCTCACATTACATCATATCTCTTGATCCTGCGCGACACACGTAACTCCAATGCTGGAATCATTTTTCAGAGATTGAGCAAATTGCATTAAGAAGGAAATTAGCATAAAAAGAGGGGGGTCGCTTTCTAGAGCTTGAAAACCGTTTTTTCTTTTACGCCAACATGAGCCATTTACTGCTAACTAGCCCTCCACATTAAATCAAACTTAAATAATTTACACTATTTATTTTCGGGTTTAAGCTACAAGAGTGCAAAATCTCAAGATATATAGTTTGACACTCCTACTATAGCCCTGCTCGGTTGCTTCCTCAACACTCACCTTGGCCTCATATTTTCACATTTATTATCTTTACTTCTGCCTTAATGTCTTCTCCTATTTTTCTTCTACTCTCTATACTCTACATTTATGTGTGTTCTTAGAGGGAACTTTCATAATCTCCATGAAATTTCGTCTCTCAACACAATCCAGCTACGACCGTTTCCCTTAAGTGACAGCCCAACCAACGAGGAGCATCCATCAGTAAAATCTACTTTTCACTGTTTACTATATGAATGCAGCTCAACAGTCAAGGACAACGGGCTTTTAGAGTGCACAAGGCGACAGATAACTGGACACAAAAAACCAAGTTCTGGATTCCATTATTTTGAACAACAGATATAAAAAACCAAGGCACCAATTGTTCAAGTTTTTTTTAATGTCTGAGAGGATAAGGGCGATCAAATCCTGTCCAATCAATTTCAGGAGTGTAACTTTACCCATTATCAAACATGTATCAAGAACAAGAGGCACTTCAGCTTTTCATTCCATGGAGATGTGGAAAATACCCTAAAGTAACATAAGAAGACAAACTTACATCTTATGTAATTGTTATCTGGATCTACACCAATACAGTTCACTAACATACACCCATATTTATGTCATCCTTTACCTATGTGTTGAGCGGTTACAGTAATGTACACAACTATGTGGAATAATACCAAGCAAGATGAAACACTTTCCTCCTTCATCATCAAAGGAGTTGTAAAACCTAAATGAATAAGTTCCAAAGACTTGTAATAAATACTATTCTGTACAGCAAAAGAATAAAGAACCAAAAGTCACTCCATCTGAAATTACAAGACCAACTTAGAAACAATAATGAAAGCGAATTATGAAGTTCAATATAAATAGGGAATGACCTATTGTCTAGCATGAATAACCAATGACTTAGTAAAGAAAGAAATAGAAATAGCCTATACAAAAAAGAATAAAAGAAAGAATGGAGTGAGCAAAGAAGAATTTACACAATAAAGAATAGTGAGCATACAGCTGTTGCCACCCTACACATGCTGATAAATATGCAGAGTTAGCGGAGCAAATGAAGGCGTTGGATTTATTAGAAAGTTTAGACCTCCGGAGAAAATAAGTAGAACAGTCTTGCTACACTGTCGACCAAAGTCATCATTCAGGGAGAAAAATGAAACAAGCAAAACATATTAATTGGAAAAGAAAACAAATATACAAGATTACCAAATTATCTTTTAAAACATTTTTAACGACATCAATGCATAAAAATCTTCGCAATTCGTTCCATTAAGACAATGAAAACGAAAACTGAACAAAATGAAACACCAAGAATTATAAACACGGAATATCAAGACAACACTGATCAACAAGATGGTAAACAGAGACCACATGGGCAACACAGAAGGGCAGCTCGGGTACATGCTTCGCCAGGTTAAATGTTGAGAACATTCTCCCGAAGTACCGTTAGGCATTAAATCCTTCAGGAAGTGCCTTCATCGGGGCTGCAGTCCTCTGGAGAAATGTCCATGAAGCAGCATCCCCTTTTAAATGCACATCCTTCAGGAAATGTTCTTTCAGTCAGCGAATCCTTCAGGCAGCGTGTCCAGATAGCTTACTCTTCAAGCACACGTTTATTTATTTGTTTTCAAGCAGGATGTGTCCAGCTAGCATGTGGTGACTTGAGACCATCACCACCATCATCATCACTTCCGCCACTATCAGTACATAATTAAGCGTCACTGGTCTTACAGGAGCACCAATATTACAGCATGGTGATACAGTAACATGGTTGATTCGTGGATTACTCTTCCAGATTCAAGGATTATGATAAATTTAGAACCTGATAGAAGATCAGTTTTGAAAAATATTGCTTCTTCTATCAATACGGTATGAAATTTTACAAACTGCAGTAATGTTCCAAAAATTTTGGAAACAATACTGCCTAAGTAGACCGATTTTTGCATCACTTCTTTATTATATTTTACCTGATAGTGGAGATAATGCTTATACAGTGTATAATATTTGTATATTTTGCTGGGAGAAAACAAAAGATTTAAGTTGTAATGAAAGTAGCTTTACTGAGGAAGTGCACTTCGAGAATCAGTACTGAGACAGTCGGGTGGTTAAGTTGGCGAATAGTGAGCAGGTGAAGTGAGGTGGTGGTGGGTAGGCGGGACACATCCGAGGCAACACCACACCTGTTCATGGCTAAGTCGTGCACATCCTTACTGATGCGGTTGCAGCTCACTAGCTCTCTACTGAAGGATGACAAGCAGGAATCACTGAGGAGGACCTACAGGGGCTAGGGCAGGTATGGGCGTGCGGACTGACTGACGGGAGGGTGCAGCGCCGCTGACTTACTTGACTCCCAACTTGGTAGCCACTCGCTTCCACTGGGAGAAGCCGGACAGTCTACGGACGGGGCTGGACACACAGCCACTGTTGGGGCGGGCCGGGGGATTAGCAGGCCGTGCGGGCCAGGACACGCAGCCACTGTTGGGGCGGGCCGGGGGGTTAGCGGGCCAAGACGCCACCAGGGAGTCTCGCTACCCACCTTTCCACACCATACACGCCTCAGGCTAGGACAAACCAACCTCGCACGATGCCCCACCAGTGATGGAGCAGCAATACCAAGCTCCACTATGATCGCTTACTATCAAAAAACTATCCAAGGCATTATGTCTCACTTTTAAGTACCTAAGACCTTTTAGGCAGCAAATTTTCATACACAAGCATTACAGTTATAAAATGACTATGATCTTGCAAAGTGGTAATATTAATATCAAATTATCTTTTAGGGTTGAAGGTGTTAAAAGGTGAAGCTGCAATGATAGTGTTAGATGCTGAGCTATCATGTGACTTGGAGCAACCTTCACACAGACTGGCACTAGAAGCTCTGGTTTACATTACGGCTATACTGTATGGTCTGTAAAACCTATCCAAGGAAGAACACTGAGTTACTCTTGAGAAAATGTACTCATTACATGCTATACTGTACACTTATTTATAAAGAAAAGTTTTATATTTTAAATTAATTATCAAAGAAAATATTAAAACTGTAAATTAGAAGAAAAACAGAAATGGAACAGCGGGTTCCAAGATCTTGTGGTTGAGGTACTTGAGATGTCCCAACTCTTACTGACCGAGGTAACCGTAAGAAAATAAAAACATAAATTATATATATATATATATTTATATATATATATATATATATATATATATATATATATATATATATATATATATATATATATATATATATATATATATATATATATATATATATATATATATATATATATATATATATATATATATATATATATATATATATATATATATATATATATATATATATATATATATATATATATATATATATAATATTTTGAACTGCATTAAACCAGTTAGCACTCGCTGTGTGCGAGTCAAGCAAAAATACTGCTTGTGAAAATAAAATAAAGTGACTGGCAAGGCAGCAGCAGAAAAGTGAAGGGACTGTTGTTGCCGCGGGTGTAGGAGGTGACCACCACGCAGCAACTGTGGCCCTAAGCTAGCACCGCAACAACTCACTCACCGCACCGGTGTACTTCAAGCATGCTTCTCACCTGACACAGCCCACCAACTCGTTAATCATTAGACAGTTCATATTTGTATACCATGATTTTATACAAATAAGTTTGGTAATTTATGCCATCAAAGACTGATAACAAAAATTAATTAGATACATAACCATAAACTGCCGACACAGAAAGTCTGTTTGGCTTGCCTCGAGCATATGGGTGTAGGAGACATTTAGAGGACTGTGGTCGCCAACCCTCAGATATAATAATGGCACCTTTGATTGATTACTTATAACAAGGTGCAAGAAGGTTTCTTATTTCTATGTCGCTGATACAATATCAAACTGTAACTTGTTGAAGAAATTATCGAGGAGTTCATTTGATTCAGCGTTTGCTTATTCTGACTCTTCTCTTAACCGTGTCAGGCCACGAGTCAATTTTTTTCATAAAAATTAACAAATATTTTTTATTGAAATATATTGACTCTCAATAACATCTTCTCATCAACCAACTAGTGTGCTTTAAATAAATGTGCCAATCCTAACAATTTCTGGCCAATAACTGAGTACATAAATCAAACAAAGTGTTTCACAAAAAAGATGCGAATTAAGATAATGACTTAAGGCAAACTTCACTCTGCATGGGACGACAGCTTAGGGAAAAATATCCATTGCCTTTTTAAGACAAGTTACAGTTGTGGCAGGAACAGATGGCAAGTGGTGGAGACAGTAGGCTGGCCAGGAGTGTGTGCTAGGTGCATGTACCACGGTTGTGCCAAACTACAACGTGAAATTTAAGAGTTGGGAGAGTGATTGTGGTGCAGGTGCAGGCGGCTTCGCACGGTGTTATCTCAGGTAACGAATACGGGGTGCACGTGTTGCGAGAGCGTGTGCACCATGCTGGCACCTCCCTCATGTACTTCAGTGCACAACAGACACACAATCCACTATTATTACTTTTATCCTTCACAACTAAACGTGGTGGGGGTGAGCTCTCTCTCTCATTTTACAATTAATACAATAGGTAATTCTCTCTAGTAGATACTCTGAACACTGAACTTAATAAGTCTCGTACACATAACAACCCTCTACAACAGTGAAGACCAAGCCTCTTCGCACACCATCTCTCAGACATTTACCCTTTTGCAGTGGTACTAGTGAATGGTCAGTGTCACCCCTCTCAGGCACCTCCCCGCCCGCCACCACAAATAGCTTCAAATGCTGTCTACACCATTTTGAAACTAAGTGACAAAGAAGCAGCCAAATGATTTCAAAATGTTGCAAAAAGGAAAAATGTTAAAAATGCTGGCAAAATGAACCAAGGGGGCGATTATGAATGTAAAACTTATGCAGCAGACAAAGACATGTTCACCTATTTAAAACATCTTGTTTGGGTAAAGACATGATCTAGTATGATATTTGGCCCCTGAAAGCACATCACTGCATAGGAAAATGGCAGGATGGTTGAAATAGGTAGACAGGTCGGATATCCAGAGATACTTGGATCAAAAGCAGCAGTGTAATTCGTCTATTACCACCCACTATGACGGTCATGTGAGCACCAGGCCCAACACCTAGAGCAATCCTTCAAGAATTTCTCAAGATGCAAAAAAAAAAACGAAAAAAAATATATATAAGATTACAGTAATATTAAAAATAAATAAAAAAATCATAATTCATAAATGCTGAAAAAATGTTATAGGACTATTTATGACAACATACAGTACTCAAAACTGGAGTGACACGGTAAACCAATTCTAGGATCATTCAGTCTGGGTCTCCTGATGAGCCAAAAAACAATACCAAAACAACGTTGGGATGCACAAAAACAAGTACAACATACAACTAAATATAACTCCAACCAGAACAAAACAAAAGTGGAGGCTTTATTTTGCTCTTTAAGAAACTTTATTGTATACTATGTGAAGCAGTGTCGCGTGGCAAAATGATACATTGAGCCTGAAAGAAAAAAACTTGTACCAAAAAATATGCTTCTTCGGGGAGGGAAGTTTTTTAATTAATGTGTTCTATCGCACAAGTAATTAAATACAGGTGACCATAAACACACTGCCATTCATAAGACTCTCCACAGTATAAAACTCTATACTGTATTACATATTTAACCCAAAGAAACACTGTAGATAGATCTTTGTCATAACATCGTTACCCTGAACCAACTTAAGAATCGGATAATACCAAACCATGGGATAAATTTATTGGGCAGTGTGTTCTTTATCCCTCCATACTGAAGCTTATTGCAATACACTGGACAATGCAAACATGCAACATAGCGTGTGTGCACCATCCTCAAGAAAGCCTCAGAGGCGGCTTCTCACACTCTCGTATTACATACAAGGAAAGTCTATACCAAAATATTTAAGCGTGAGTAACCATGAAGACAGAATTTTATGACTCGTGAGAACCATAAAAATCTAAGTATTATACATTGTCTCCTAATATAAGTATTATAAGTTATAAGGATCTTAATCTAAGTATAATAGGTTTTAAGTCTCTTATAAATCCAGACATCTTCCAACCTCAGGAAGTGTAGCAGGAATCTACCCCGGGCTGTGTTTTCCCCCCGCTCCTACCTTGGTGACGACACGCTGGTGGGTCGGGTGGGTGACGAGGAATGGGCCGCTGAGGACCTCGACCTGGCTACTGCTGCCTGTTGGGACTTGGATGATGACCCTGAGGTGGTGCTCGTACCTGACCCAACGTATGACCCAAGGCTGGCACTCTTGGTGGTGGTCGTCAGTCCTACAGTGCCTCCTGGCTTCTGAATGACCTGGTGGATAGGGGAGGGAGGCTCAGTCAAACAACTCGACTTAAAATAATCACAACTAGACCTAGCAAGCTTACCAGCAAGAAGACTTTAGAATGAGTAAAACAGTGGAAGTCCTGGGGATAGGCTACTGTCCTGATAGGAATTGTAAGACTATACTGAGAGGGAGATGAAATAAAATACAGAAACTCAGTCAAACTTGATGGATCTGATACAAGCTGACAAGAAGAGGTGAAAAGAGCATCTGACAACTCCTTTACCTGGGGGTACTCTGGCATATATTAATTAATACAATATTGCAAAACGTCATCTATGACAGCCTGTGCATACCAACTTTATCCCCTGAGATTTGTCAATTAGTAGTTGTGGAGAAGAGTAAATGTTTATTTATCACAACACAGTTTATTATTGATCGACCTTATTTACTTAACAATATCCACTGCACAACCTACCTTACCTTTACAACACTATGTCAAGATTTTCTATCAGTTTAGCAGTAAGAGCAACACAACAGTTGATGCTTCCACCTGGATATTTAGGAAATCGAACATGTTTCTACGAACCTCAAAAGGTCAAGTTCATCAAAAATTTGTAATAAACACAACATTACAATTCTTGATCAAAATGACAAAGCCATTAAATTAATCAAATGCAAAAGTTGATTCCTAGCAATTATTATGAAAACAAAATGTAGTGACTGAGTTTACATTACAAAGAAGTTAAACACCAGGAGAATGACAATGATTAATAACAGTACCTACTAGTGTTAAGGCGGCATTACACAATCACTTTTTATGTCATTACGTCTATTGCCCATTGAGTCCCACAGGCAACAGTGAGATCTAATATTGTCTATCATGTATTCTTTGGACAGGAGTGTCCACACAAAAATAAATAGAGAGGCCATGAAGAAGTTGAACACATGGGTCAATATAAACAAATATCAGATTTATTTATGAATGTCAACATCAATAAAAAAATTATACTTGAGCAATTTATTGAAAAAACGTGATAGTGAATACTTTTAAAACTAAATATTGTTATCTTAAGTGGTTCGATATTTATTTTATTTAAATACAACATCCTCATTGTTGAGTATAGATCTTGACCACAGAAATTAGAGCAAGCCAATCAGGTGGAAGCGATGTGTTTCATCTGAGAGGGACAGGCTAGAAAAACTGACAATTTGGGGAAAAGCGACAGAAACCAAGAAAGTTGACAGAAAAAGTGATAGGTGTGATGCCGCCTCTAGTCATCTAGGCTTATAAAAACATATCACATCCCATCTAAACTATCAGTATTATTTTACCCTAACTGTTAACAATAAGGAAGTAAATGATATCCATTCAACGTTAATAAAGACTAAACGTTCAACTCACATACTCAACAAATATGTTAAGTTCTATCATGAAACTTAAAAGAAAAGTTGCATCAGATTTTAAAGGACATCACTGTTAAAAGTATAATAATTCACAAACAAATGGAGGGAAATTAGAGGGACACCTTCAAACAGATATGGGGAGAAGGAGCAGGCAAGATTATTAGGGTCAGCAGGTTAATAAGAACACAGGAGTTGATCTATAATAATGCTTGGAGTCAGGAGAGGGAGGGGGGGGAATGGGGAGAGATGGAAGGGGGACAGAATGAGGGGGCAGGAAGTGAGGGGCAGGGAGTGAGGGGCAGGGAAGTGAGGGGCAGGGGAGTGAGGGGGCAGGGGAGTGAGGGGGTAGGGGAGTGAGGGGGCAGGGGGTGTTCATGATCCCACCTCATGGCCCAGGAAGCCACTCAAGTGTGTTCACGAGGACACTTACATGTGTACAGGAGGCGACTTACACATGTCCAGGAGACCACTTATATATGTACAGAAGGCCACATACATATACAGGAGGCCACTTATATGTGCACAGAAGACCACTTAAAAGTGTACAGGACGGACACCTACACATTCTGTATATATCTTGGCATCACTTGTAAAAGAAGCCACCTACACGTGTACACAAGATGCCACTACATGAGGCTATACACATGTACAGGTGGCCAATAACAAGTGTATCACCCGCTTCAAAAAGTATCTTCATGGAGAGGGTCAATGAATTTCAAAATGATCACTGTGACTCCTGTTGTCTTGGTAGGATTGTCAAGAACCTTCGTCTGTTGTGTCATATTGCCTCACACGAAATCGTAAAGATAATTTTTCAAGGGTGTGTACATGGGGAGACATATGTGTACACGAAAGGGCTTCAGATGTGCACGCCTTAACTTACAGATGCACAAGAAGTGACCTAAAAGGGTGGTTAATGGAATTTAAAAGCGAGGAAGAAAAACCAAGAGGGAAAATAAATGTACAAGAAGGGAAGTAAACTGTACAGTAGGGCTCTACAATGCACACTGAAGTAAATACATATGTAAATGGGGACCTACATGTGTACACCTACTGGTGTAAATGAGAGGGAGGCCTACAGGTGTACATGAGGGGAGACCTACAGGTGTACATGAGGGGGACCTACAGGTGTACATGACAGGGGACCTACAGTTGTACATGAGAGGGGACCTACAGGTGTACATGAGAGGGGACCTACAGGTGTACATGAGAGGGGACCTACAGGTGTACATGAGGGGGGACCTACAGGTGTACATGAGAGGGGACCTACAGGGTACATGAGGGGAGGTGTACATGAGGAGACCTACAGGTACATGAGAGGGGACTCTAGGGTGATGAGAGGGACCAGGTGTGAGAGGGGACCTACAGATAATCACAAGGGGCAAGAGCTGGGTTTGGGGGAGGGTCGAGGGGGGGGGTCGCCTCACCAGAGTTGTGAGTCCTGCCGCCAGCTGGATGTGCTAGAACAAACAAGTGAAGGTCAGAGCCACCTCCAACACACCACCACCATAACAATAACAAAAACACATAAATTACGGCACAACACAACTCTTTAATTGGCCGATGCGTTATGTCGAGTTATTAATACATACATTCAAGGGAGTCATTCGGTGGTTAGGTGTTATTATTACGTAAAAGGCGTGTAATTATTTTATGTGTTATTTTTGTATACAAGGAGGTAATTTGTCTGCTATTATTCATTCTTGGTATTACACATAGCACAGGTGAGTGATACGTCTGTAATGGGACAGGTTATTATTACGTAATCCGAAACACACACACATACACGACAGTCTAGTGGTAGCAGCGTTGTGTAATGTTATGCTACAAATACATACGAGTGTGTTATGTGTTTGTAATTATGTGTCTATGAAGAACATTTAAAACAAATCACAATTTATTAATATCATCTAAAGCACAACACACCAATGACACTGGAGTTGTGTTATTAATACATCTAAGTGATTAAGTTGTTTGTAATGAGTTATACTGTGTTGTTAGTACATACAGGTGAGTAATAGAGAAACCTACAGGTGACAATAAGAGTACCGTGCAGCCCATCCTAAAGGTAAATTAAAAACGTGTTATATTGCGAATCCTGTTATGTTACGTTATAACGACAGGCAGGTAAGACAAATCGTGTGTGTGTGTGTGTGTGTAAAATGATGCATCTCTCTGAAGCGTGTACCATTAACATTAATCTATACCTCAACAATTTAATTATCTTTACATCATAACTGGGAGACGACTGAAGTACGTGTGTTTGTCGGTGTATCGCTGAAAGACTAGCTAAAAAAAAATCTGAAATCTACCATCACAAGCCAACTCTAAACACGACACGCATGCTTAGGAGCTTGTGGTGCTCTGTGGCAAGTGAAGATAAGGTGGACCTCTCTACTGAAGATATGATGAGGTTTAATACACATAAATCAGTTTAAGTGTTGTTTTACGGTGTGTCTTAAGGCATAGTAAAAGATGTATCACCAATGACTAATGTTGTTATCAGTATTATGCAAGTAAGATGATTCGTGATTTTCTATCTTAACAAAACACAAGACAAGAACAACAAGCTTCAACACAATACAACACATCACAATAACAACATTTACAGCCAATTTGCAAATCAGCTTATATATCTTATTTTTTTTTATTTAATACATACAAATTGCTGAAGTCATGGGCGAGGTTAAATTATTTGTTTAGTTTTGAATTTAGTTATTAAAGGTTGGTGTAAAACATTTTATACAGTATAGAGACAAAAAATCACACACCAAACATCCGCAAGCCGTTATACAGTATTGTGTGAAAATACAAGAGGCTATTTCATGTATAGAAAAAAAAATCCAGTTCTGTAAAAAAAAAAAAACACTAAATCATGAACACACACCAAAAACCTTCAATTCTGTTTCAGTCATAAAACAATATGGCTTTACGGTTGTGTTACTCGAGGGTTGGGGAGTGTACCGGGTGAACCAGTCAGGGGAAAAAAATCGTCAGTCAGTCCCATCAATGAACTCTTGAGTCTCATGAACCTGTGAATCAGAGACCTCACACAGTGTACCATCACTGAACCCAACACCGTGTTATGTCTATAGGATTCACTGGTTCACGAGTCTCAGGGTTCATGAATAGACGTGACTGATAAGACTTTCTCCCCTGACTGTACTAGGAGCGGAGATATGACCTGTTAGGGGTATTATTAGGTTAAATGGGCCCCCCCAGTCCTATTAGGCTCCATCCTGGGAACCTAAAAGTGGTACCCATTAGGACTAGGCCGTGGATAATTAGATGAAAGCATGGACGGCTCTACTTAAAGGGGAAAAAATCGTCCCAAAACAAGAATTCATCTGCTAAAAAAAAATATATATTCACGATAAATTTAAAGGAAATAACACGCACTGTCAAACACTCACACTATCAATAATAAAAAGAAGTGATAAATGAGAAAAAGTTAGGAAATCAAGTAAAGGGTATAGGGAAAAAGGAAGAAATATGGAATAAGATGAAAAGGAGAAAGATGAATAGGAGAGGTGGTATGAAATGAAGATTCAATAAAAAAAGTTCTTACCTTGGGGTTCTTGAGCTTGGAGCAGTCCGAGATCTGATCCTTGCAAGAGTTCTCGTGCACACACACCTGACACGCTGTAAAGATAATAAACAACTTAACTAAAAAGTATAAAAAAGTTTATAGCCTTATAATTCCACCATCCTATATAATCTAACGATGCGAATTATAGTAAATATATTGGTCTTGAAACACTCGTCGCCACACCTCCTTCCTCCGTAAGCAGTTACACCAAACCAATCAAAAGCTCGCGCGAGAGAAAGTAGGCGGGCTTATTTTACCTCCCACATATTGGCCAGAATTTAGCCCATAATGGCTTATTGAGATACACAGCCCTAATTTAGTTTAAAACCCATCCACCGATTAAAAAGTTTGAAACCAGGCACACAATATGGGAAGGAATGACGGAAGAATTACAAAACAAAATTAATCAGATAAACAAAGACAATAACACGTTCGTATATAAAATTTAATTTCAAAACCGCGTCGAAATTAATAAATGTGTGTGTGTAGTGGCAGGTGTAGTGGCAGGTGTATGAGAGCTTCAGGGTCAATATCAGGTTCACGTCGACCTCACACAGCCTGGACACTGATACCTGCCAATAACTGCCCTCGCTTCTACCCTTTTGTGTGTGTGTTTGTTTTTGTGTGTTTGTTTTGTGTGTGTGTGTGTGTGTGAGAGAGAGAAAGAGGGGGGGGGGGCGTGGATGGTTATACACAGGTGAATGGATGGACACTGTCGAACACCTCTACACCACCCCCCCCCCTCCTCCCCGTGACCCATCGGTTAATAAAGCGTCAGGTGTCGACAGGTGATGTGTGTCCACCCTCATAGTGTACCTGTATTCTCCACCTATACCCTCACCTGTAATCCATCTGTACCCTCAATCTGTATTCCACCTGTGCAACACCTGTACACCCCTTACACTACACCTGTACACTGTATCGAAACAATTACTACAGCCAGCAAGTTACAAATATAAACTATACAAGAACAGAAATATCGACATGATTTGGAGCCCCTTAATAAAAAACAATATCTGATTTACAAGACTGATATATCGACACAACACCGGTTATAATCGACTCCAGTAGACATACATTGAATAGTCTACATAATGTATATTTTATTCATTTGTTGGAGAAAAATACATAGTGGAAAAACAATAAAAAAAAGACGATCAAATTACAAAATAAATAATAAGTTAAAATAAGAGACAGTAAATGGAAGTTTTTTTTTTTTTATTATGGAAGTGATAAATTTGAGAAACAAACAAAAACACAATCAAGTTATAATATAAGCAATGATATAATCCAAACAAGAAGCAATAACAATTACTTAAACCAGAACGGGTAAATAGTAAATAATACGTAAATACAATTACTTCTTTACCCACTACACTAGCTAGGTGTGTTACCAACGTCCTCAAGGGTTAACATCGTGGTTCAGAAAGGGTTAAAATATCGTCCTCAAAGGGTTAAACAAAGGTCATCCAAGGTTTAAACCCTCGTCCTTAATCCCTTGTGTACCGTGATTTAACCCTTTGTGTACTGTGATTTAACTCATTGTGTACCATGATTTAACGCCCTTGTGTACCGTGATTTAACCCTTTGTGTTCCATGATTTAACCCTTTGTTGTTGTTATTGTTGTTACTATTATCATTGTTATTGTTATTATTACTATTACCCGCTTACGTTACAGTTGCACAAGGGGTTAAAGTTAAACCGTCGTCCTAAGAGAGCTGAACTACCATCCTCAGAGGGTTAAAACAATTATCCTCAGAGTTAAAAAATAATAATTGTAGGCAGGATGTTTTAATATGCCGCAGTGCGTAGCTGGTACTAATGAGGGATATTAAACCTTAACGAGAGGCTCAGACCGGCTTTTTACACACATCAACGGAAAAGAACGAATCTGCCCGGCGTCATCATCTGGAACTGAAGAGACGGATTTCGTTTTTTCTCTCTGTCAATGACGCGCCGCTGAAGAGAACCTGGAGATACAGAGAATCCATTTTTTTGTGTGCGTGCTCCAAGTTGTGAACGTGATAATTAAACGAAAAAGCGATGGATTTTGATTAAATTTGGTACGTGGAAGTAACTTAATAATATCTTGGAGGAGTTCGATAAGTTGGTAATTTTCCATGTGTCTGGAGTAACTTGACTCACGTTCATACGGTCTTAAAAACTGAAACAGACGAATAAGTGACTATTTTCCTAAGTAAGTAATTTTTAAAGAAGTAAATAAAAAAAAACCACGAAACTGCTTTCTGGAAAAAACTATATTCCCTACAGTTTACAACACGAGGAAATTAAAAGAATTTTTTAAGAGTAAATGAACGTAAGGACGGTCAGAAGCAACAAGTACAGTATCTACTAATTCAGCTCCTCTTAAATGCTTGCTGGTTCACACTCAAATGTTGATAGAGTAACAGCCACTTACCCTCACACCTCCTCTATCCTTACTCTGAAGCAGAACACGTGTGAGAGAGGGGGAAAAGAGGATGGCACTTACTCCAACAGTGGAGGAAGGGTACTGGATGGCTACTTTCTCTACAGCCAAACCAAACAGGAGGTGGTGGTAGGTGGGTACAGTACTTACTCTCACAGCGAAGGGCCGGCTTGTTGGTCATAGGCTTGCTACACACGTCACAGGTGGCTGAGTTACTGTAGCAGACAGACACGAACTGATGGGAGCTCTTCTTAGGCTTGTCCTGCGGCATAACAAAAACCACATCGTCAATCATATCCCCCTATAGAAGGTCTACTACACCATGTTATATATAGTTCTTGAGGTATAGCTACGTCAAGGCTTCAACTATTATTATTTACAAATGACAAATTACTAATCTATTAATATATAAACTAAAACACCATCATTTGAATACCTAACTAAATTATACAGTACAATATACACATCAATTCACACACAAACACACAACTGGATGTATATGATCAAATTTATATACATGTAGGTTAGGTTAACATCATGACAGACTGAATATATATACTTACACGAGATAAATTCTGTATATATATAAACTTATTGAGGCTTACGACCAACATGTGGGAATTACTGGGTTTTTATATGTCAGGTAAAGTAATAGTGTGCCTGTTTTCTCCTAACACTCTGAACCATTATGTAAATACAGTGTGGTTATTTATAGGAAAGGGGGGGGGGAAGAAAGTAGGAGGAGGGGGAGCAAAGAAGAAGCACATAATTGAGGAAGAGGAAGATAGGAGGGGAAGGAGAGGGAGACGAGGAGGAGCAGGAAGAAGCGGAGGAGACAGGAGGAGGAGGACGAGAAGGAGGAAGAGATAGAGGAGGAGGAGGAGATAGTGGAGAAGACAGAAGGAATATATATATATATATATAAAGAGGAAGGATAAGAAAAGGAGGAGAAGTAAAAACCCAGGATGAGAGAACCGAGGAGATAGAGAGGAGAGATAAAAGTGTGTGTGAAGGAAAGAAAGAGAGAAGGAAGGAAGAGGCCGATACCATATAACTGTGAAAGAAATTCTGATGATTTTAGTGTATCTGTTGAGACCTGAACATGACAAGGGCCCGTGACAATAACTTGGCCCTCGTGTTAATGGTTAAATTAGGTTTGGGGTCTATTAGGACTGGGGGCTATTAAGATTGGAGGCTATTTGATAAATCTGGGGCCTATTTGACCAGTCTGGGGCCTACTTGACCAGCATGGGGCCTATTCGGACCAGCCATCATAAACGTGTATGAAGAGGCTGAAGCGAACAAGAATAAGGAAACTCGTAATAAATGAGGAGAAAGAAGACTAACGAATGAAAAAAGAAGAGTAAAGAAGAAACAAGAGGAGGAATAATGATAAATTGTGGAAGCGGAGAAGGGGAAGAAAAATGGGAAATAAATATAGTTGACGAGGAGATGGAAGAAGAAGGGGATGATGAGAGAGAGAGAGAGAGAGAGAGAGAGAGAGAGAGAGAGAGAGAGAGAGAGAGAGAGAGAGACACTCACCTTCTTCTTCCTAAAGAATATAGATCCTCTTTTTCTTCTCTTGTTGGTAGACTCGTCCTCATACTGGTAGTTAGACCTGTGGGGAGACGACCAGGCTGTTAGTAGTGCTCACTAATCACCTTAACCTCACTAATCACCTTGACCTCACTAATCACCTTGACCTCACTAATCACCTTAACCTCACTAATCACCTTAACCTCACTAATCACCTTAACCTCACTAATCACCTTAACCTCACTAATCACCTTAACCTCACTAATCACCTTAACCTCACTAATCACCTTAACCTAACTCATAATTAACCTCACTCATGACTTAATCTGACTCATCACCTAAGTTGAATCATGATTAACCTCACTCATAAACTTGACTCATGACCTAACCTTGACTCATGACCTAACACACTGCCATACCCTCTCACACTACCACACCATCCTCACACTGCCACACCCCCTCACACTGCCACACCATCCTCACACTGCCACATCATCCTCACACCACACCGCCTCACACTGCCACACACTGCCCCGCCACTGCCACACCATCCTCACATTGCCACACACTGCCTCACACTGCCACACCGCCTCACACTGCCACACCGCTACGACAGAGGGTGAGGAGCGTGACCTGACCTGACCTCAATAAACAGGCAGGTACACAAGGGTTACCTGGCTCAGTGCCTCGAAAGGACCTTAATTATGGCACTGGTCTCTCTCACCTGTAGTCTACACCTGGACCTGATTCTACGTGTGTGTGTGTGTGTGTGTGTGTGTGTGTGTGTGTGTGTGGTGCAGTACAGGGCCGCCACGACACACTGCAACACAATGGGTGATTCACGGAAGTAAGTGTGAAAGTAAATTTAAAAGTCTGACAATAATTCACATTTTACGCTTCCCGCCGCCATCAATAGAAGACAGTCATTGTTTATTCTCACTGTCCGTGTGTGAGTCCGTCCGTGTGTGAGTCTGTCTGTGTGTGAGTCTGTCTGTGTGTGAGTCCGTCCGTGTTTGAGTCTATCAGTGTTTGAGTCTGTAAGTGTGTGAGTCTGTACGTGTTCGAGTCAGTCCGTGTGTACGTCTGTCTGCTGTAGGCGAGATATATGACGTCTATAAATTCATAACTTTTGACAGTGAAGAATTTGTACTCGAGAGAGATATGTGTGTGTGCTCTCTCTCTCTCTCTCTCTCTCTCTCTCTCTCTCTCTCTCTCTCTCTCTCTCTCTCCATTATAAACAACACGAGTTCATCATAATACCACACAGAACTACTTCAAGGAATCGAATGGACCCCAGCCAGTGCTAGTAGGCCCCAACTTAACATAAACTGTTTACAGTGATGAGGGGCCCAACCAGATCTCTTTACGACTGTCACTCAATAGATACATAGCCCATTAAGACTGGCTCTCAATCGTCATGGCAATAGGATTTATAAGTCTTAGTTAATGCCAATAACGACAAGAGCCCAATGGCACAACTACGCAGAAAAGCACCGTTAGTCACTTTGTATCATCGCAATACTCGATAAAATGTCCAAAACAAGTCCAAAACACGACCAATTTAAGTCCTAATCACCAACGACGTAACTCACTGACCAGGTACATATTAAGGCTAAAACAGGTGAAGAATCAGTGAAGGAATGCAGCTGTACCCGTTATGTACCTCGCGATACAGGCATAAAGTTTGTGTGTGTGTGTGTGTGTGTGTGTGATCATCAGACGTGCACGGCAGTAAGTGGGTTATATTAAGCACGTTTGTAGCTGTAACTTGCAGAATAAGATTTGTTTCAGCTTATCTTCCCGGCTGCCTCCTTGAAGTGGGACAATCTATATACACAGAAATTGTCTCAATGTCAAAGAGAACATTTCCAGGAACTTCGTCACCCTCACTCGTTTGTTGTGATCTAAAAATATCTTCCCCACACACAACGTCCTCTTCCTTTATCTAACACATGGGTTCAGATTACTAAATATGGATTCGAACCCTTCACCAGGTACTCGCTCTAAAAAAAAGTATCTGTACAATTTGGTGTGGGACAATATGACACAAAGGACGAAGGATTTTGACAACCCTACCGAGACAAAGAGGAGTCAGGTGTTCATTTTGAAATTCCTCGATCCTCACCGTCAAGATACTTTTTAGGGCGAGTGTTTACACATTCTTCAGTTGTAGTATCCACAGTCTGGGGGCCTCTGTGTGTGTTGGAGGGGATGTGCGTGAGAAGGGGAAGGGCCTGGGGGGAGGGGGGGAGGAAAGGGGGTGAAAATGGCGTCCCCTTAGTGAAGAGGCTAACGTGTTTCTACATGAAGTTCAGCCGAGTTAGATGTGTTATTGATTTCCCTCAGGTTAGACAGTCACAATATAACTCTACCATAAGCAGCCACTGTTGGTCACTTCTAACTCTACGGTGGAAATGGATATCGATCTCTCTTGATGGAACTTGTAAAGATTTGGGTATACCATGAGGAGCCTGCAGCATAAAACCTCAACCTGCTAAAATACTTCTAATGTAACGTCAGCTGTTTTGTACGTCTTATATCACGATACGAAACAGAAATGACAGAGTACATGACGAAACAGAAATGACAGTACATGACGAAACAGAAATGACAGAGTACATGAC